GGGGGGGGGGGGGGGGGGGGGGGGGGGTGGGGGGGATTTTAGTTTGGAGGAGGCACGAACCCGCTGTGCCTCCCCCCCTCCCCCACCCCCCACCCACCCACCCACCCACCACCACCACCACCAGTGAACATCTAGAATATCACCTCAGCTTACCGTATTCCTGGGGTGGACTGGCTTGTGAACTGGGGTATAAAGAACTCAAAAAATACACATTTAGTCCCAGGAGTCCAACGACTACAAGTAAATAGAACAGTTTCCACCGGTGCCTGCCCACCATATTGGCCATAATAATATCACTACCGAACTCCCGGATGTACCAATATCAGAGATGATTGCACTTCCTTTACGGTCTATATATTCTATATAGAAGAATGTCAATATATAATTGGAAAACAAACGTATCTGATCCAATTAATTCCTTCAACAATGTAGCCCGTAGCGGCTTTTACATTATAGCCAAATGCGTAGATGTCGACAGTCATTTATCCTCTGATAATTGGCTGATAGTTGGATGTAATATATGCTTTGTCCTGCTTCGTTTCTGGAACATCTGTTGATAAGTTTAATTCAAAAAGGTCGTACTTCGTAACAGGTGCAAGATGCCAGCAAATACCCGTTTCGTATTGATATCCACTTGTTCAAAGTTTATGTAAATGTGACCCATGCACAGTTTTTGCCATTTTACCTAGCATGTATATTTAGAATGTGTCTGTCACGTAAGCTGCACAAGTCAAACGGTCTCAATAGACTTTGCACTTGCTGTTATATGCATTAGACGCACATTGTAGCTTATAATCTCCAAACCAGTTTTAACTTCGACAACAGACTTTTCTAAATAATTTACAAGCGTGCATATTAAATGCGCCTGGAAGTTAATATTTTGTCATTATGATGTGTTCAGACCGGGTTTGACAAACACCGTTTTAGTTGTTATTCCAGGATGACGGTTGTTTGAACACACTGTCCTCTCCTGCCAAGTATTACATGTAAATAGTATACAGACGGGATAGTAACCAAGCGTCTTTTTTCATGAGTAAAGTTTGCATCACGGGGCTGAACGGTAAAACAGCGAAGATTGGAATCAGACGGATATCTCGCTTTAATGCAGCTAAAAGCTTTTGTTAAAACGGTCCTGAGTGTGACTTTAATGAACAATAAAACAACCTGTATTGACGTCCTTTAATGCCATCCTTTATTTCTTGATTGCCAGTTACTTTGCATAATTAAGCCCAATCACAGAACAAAGTATGTATTTTCAGTCACCAAGTTTAGTTATTACTGTTTTAAGGAACGGGTTTTTAAATCACACGCTGGACACTACCATCTCGTACATTTCTTCAGACTAATAATTATTGTCACTGATGTCACGTGACAGAGGACAATGGGGTATCTGTCACGTGACAACAAGGACAACGAGTTCAGTTCAAGAGGTGTTCGGAAGAGGTAATCACCGTGTATTCGTGTCTTATATGCAATTTGAATTTGAGTTCCTCAAATTTCAAGAACGTTTGTACAGTTCAGTGTGATATATGTCAAATGTCTTCATTCTGGGCCACATCTGACTGATATACAGCACTTCACAACTGTCTACAGGCACTAAGACCTAGCCCAACCCCCACCTCCACCCCCTCCCCAGCCCCACCCCAGCCCCCGCGGTACAATCCAGCGTGACAGACAGTTTTTATACCATCAGTATTGAGTAGTCTTTACTCTTTCCAATGTCGACTGCGGACTTGCCCCGGGTACTTTATGAACATATGAACAGTCTTGAGAACCAAGGGTCCAAGATAGGAAAGGAGGGGCATAAAAAGACAACCTGTGCCTGATAAAAGGAGTAGAACTGACGCGACTTTTGTAAAAAATCAAAAGTTTTCTCTCTGCTAATCCCCCCCCCCCCAAAAAAAAAAAAAAAAAGATAGCACATGTTGATGAAATGAAAACCATACGGAGTTAGTTATAGCTCAATTTTTAAGTTCAAGATTTGTGGCACCAATATAAGGACTTTTAACTGAAGAGAAGGGGAATAAAATTGTCGACGCAGATGTAAACTTTCTAAAGTATACCGTTTTATTATGCAAAAGGTAATTTGCTAGGTCCCACGAGCGCCCTCATTCGTTTTCGTCTGGTGACATCCAGATTCAGGGGCCATGTCGTTGTCGTGATGGACTGACGTGCCTCATCCGGGACTCGAATCCGTGACTTTGCGTTACCAAGGTTGATGACGCTTTGGATGTCTCATTTGCATCCATGCACGCTACCGACTGCTCCGTGGCCGCCCTCCCACCCTCCGTACTTGCGAGTTTCCTCTTATAGTAATCAATCGCAATTTTTAAAATTTAAGTCTGGCAAAAAATATGGACACAGCAACTGCCGTGACTCGAACCGGAGACACAGTGTCTGCCTTCATGCAAGACAGCAGAGTTACCACGCAGCCACGACAGCTCCGTTGATACGATGTGATCGGATGGAAACTTTCAACGTCGTCACGGAGAGCGCCAGATTGGGTGTACATATGTAGACCTGCTGTCGCAATCGATAATCCGGGTGCCGCATTTCAGCCCACGCAACCCCAGTCCCCGACATGAACGGTTAAGTTCGTGATGTACCCGAAGTCGTCTTTGACTACCCGACTCGGAGCTCGGAGTTTGTTCTAAACTAACATTGATTTTGGCTTTACCCATGATATTAAAGAGTACAGTGGGATCAGAGGCGCTGCACAACAGGCGGGGTTTACTTTTAGCGAGACCATAAGAGGAGAGAATAAAAAAATACAAAACATTCAAGTCTTTAATTACTGGTTCGATTGCAGCCATGGGAATTTTGAGTAAAATATATTTGGCAAATAATTCCGCCGAGGAGATGTCGTTTTTCTACCGAACACGGTTAACAGGTGGTATGACGTGCTGTTATACGGCCCGGAAAAGCTACAGAATCAAAACAAGTTGATCGTATTTATTGATAGGCCTGCTCTGTACGTTCCTGGTGAGATGAATTCGGATGCTTTTATTTCCATTTGGTTTTGCATTGAGATAACGTTTGGTTTCACCTTTGACGTTGTAGAGCACGATGACGTCCACAGCCGTTCACACCTCGGCGGTTTTAGTATTGAGCAGTCTTTACTCTTTCCTATGTCGACTGCGGACTTGCCCCGGGTNCGTTATCTTGATGGACTGACGTGCCTCATCCGGGACTCGAACCCGTGACTTTGCGTTACCAAGGTTGATGACGCTTTGGGTGTCTCATTTGCATCCATGCACGCTACCGACTGCTCCGTGGCCGCCCTCCCACCCTCCGTACTTGCGAGTTTCCTCTTATAGTAATCAATCGCAATTTTTAAAATTTAAGTCTGGCAAAAAAATGGACACAGCAACTGATGTGACTCGAACCGGAGACAAAGTGTCTGCCTTCATGCAAGACAGCAGAGTTACCACGCAGCCACGACAGCTCTGTTGATACGATGTGATCGGATGGAAACTTTCAACGTCGTCACGGAGAGCGCCAGATTGGGTGTACATGTGTAGACCTGCTGTCGCAATCGATAATCCGGGTGCCGCATTTCAGCCCACGCAACCCCAGTCCCCGACATGAACGGTTAGTTCGTGATGTACCCGAAGTCGTCTTTGACTACCCGACTCGGAGCTGCTATGACTCGAACCGGCATCCCAGTGTCTGCCTGCATGCCAGACAGCAGAGTTACCACGCAGCCACGACATCTCCGTTGAGACAATGTGATCGGATGGAAACTTTCAACCTCGTCACGGAGAGCGCCAGATTGTGTGTACATGTGTAGACCTGCTGTCAAGTTTGGATGAGACTGTACACCAAGTAAGTTCAGGTGATATTTTGGTTATTTATTTAGTTCTATGCATCAGAAGGTATCATATCATCTCTCTGTCAAATAAAAAGCTTGTTTAATCATAACATAAACATCAACACTTGTGTGGTAAGGTTTAATGTTGAAATACCTCTATCACTTTGTCCTATTTTCCTGTCGAAGACATGTGGATTGATTTTTTGTCACCCCTCAGTATAAAAAGGCCATCTTCAACAATGAATAATTATAACACAGAAATATTTACTTTGCTTATATCTTCAAACTTGAATAATTCCATGAATGCCTTTGGTTATGCTTCAATATTCCAATAAATGTTCTAATGCTAATTGTGCCCTAATATTTGATTTTTTAATCAGAGAGTGACATGAAACACAAAAAGTGTGAGCACCATATGTGACACTTGAAACCACCACGGTCAAATATACACTAAAGAACACATGACGTCACTTGAGAAAGTAAATGATAAATTGGTATTCTCCTAACAGGTGGCAAACTACCTCTTAGAAACATGGTAAAACTGCAATAATGACACAGGCTCTTCAAAATAATTCTCCAAGAACCTTGCACCAACAAAATACCAACTAACATTTACCAATCATTCTGAGTATATTAAAAGAGAGTCAAGTGTAAGGTCAAGGGGCACACGAGGTGTAACACAGCATGAAATCTGAAGTTCTAGTACAGGGGACGTAGACGAGTTCCAGGCTAGGACGCACTTGAATTGCTACACAGTTGTTACCGCTGGAGGCGTCGTATGGCGCTCGGAATCTTGAATTTGGTATTGTAACACTAACACCTGGAAGATAATGATGGCTTGTCAGGGTATTCCTTTTAAGTTTTAGATAATTGGTTCAACCTGATTGTGTGGTTGGTAAAATTTCAGCCTCATCTACAGATTCATACGTAATCAACCATTTTATAGATAGAAGTTTGACACAAAAAAGTAGAGAGCCTGTAAAATGTAACGCATGACGTCGCAAGTAATTATATAAGATATTTTCTTTATGGGCAACTATTTTGTGAGTAATCCATTGAAGCGATTTTCATCTGTAAAAGCATCAATTTTTTTACGAATTTTGAAGATTTGGAGTGAAATCATCGGCTCGTACCGCTTTCCGACTGCAGCGTGACGCCAGAGCTGTCCTCATCTACGTAGCTCATAGATGTCCAATAGAGGGCGCCAGGAGAATCCACGCTTCTTCGCCGTCTACGCAAGCGGATACTCCCGCCACCTGACGGATATTGGAAGGGGGTAAATGGATTTGTTGGGTTTTGGAAAACAGAGGGAGCCGAGGAAGTAGTTGGATTCTGTGGTGGAAAGAAAAAGGAATTCCATGGGAAACTATTCACAGGTGGCGCTGGGGTGGTGGTCGTGGTTGTTTTTTGTTTGTTGGTTGTTTCCTAGCAACATGAAGAACCATGCTAGAGGATCTGGTGTAGTAGTGGTTGAAGTAGTAGTTATGGGTTGTTGTGTAAAGGGGAACGGAAAAGAGAAAGGGAAGGGATTCCACGGCCATGACATCGGAGTTGTAATGACTGATGGAGGGGTTGTTGCCTGTTGGGATGTTGCAGGGGTGACGAAAGGCCACCCCCAGGTAAAAGACGGCGAGATCCTACGCGTAGTAGTAGCTGTGGTGGTGGTTGTAGGTGGTTGCAATGTGGGGTTCTGAAATGGCGGACTCCACGGAAATGGCGGCAGCGGTGGGATTGTAAATCCTAATGTTGCTTGTTGTTGTGTGGTCTCCGGAGCCGGTGTGTTCGTGGTTCCTGCCTCTGGTGTGGTGCTTTGTGAGGTGTATTGTGAAAACCATGGGAAGGGTGGCAGAGGTGGGATGGGAGGTGGCGTAATGGCCTGAGTGGTGGCGCTGGGAGTAGGTGTAGGAGTAGGTGTGGGAGTAGGTGTAGGAGTAGGTGTAAGGGTGGGAGTGGGAGAAATGGGAGGAGAGGTGGAGGAAGGGGTGGTTGATACCGTGGTGGTACCAGAAGTAGGAGCCGTAGGCGTAGCAGTCGTAGTGGGAAGGACTGCATGTGCACATGGGAAAAAAAGAAAAATCGTATTGATGAAAACTATAATAAAAGAACCGCATTGTTAAAAGTTTGGTATTATAGAAATAACACAGCCAAAAGATATACAGTAATTATCCTGATACTGCGTTTTCTTAAATGATGAAATGAGATTAAAAGAGTAATGAGATCAAGCAGATTGAGTGTGCTGTCATAGAACGCCCGCATTGTTGTAAAAACGAAGGAGATAGTCTATACTCACAACTCGAAAGCCTTTCATCAAATTTTGTTAAACAACTGTCGCTTGGCGTTAGGAAGGGGTATCCCCCTAAAACAGCACATAACCCCCTTGCGTCGTTATAGTCGGTTTGTGTCCCAGATGTGTATTCAAACATGTAGAAGCAGCCGCAAGAGTTATCTGTGATGTCAACGGGCACCGGAAGCCATGGCGGCGTACAAACACAGTCTGGAATAAAAGTGTGACAATGTTATACTCTCTCTCTCTCTCTCTCTCTGTCTCTCTCTCTCTCCTTTTATGTGTGCAAATTAACAGAAGAAGTCACCTTGCAGCGGAGACAGAAGTATGGGCAATCTAATCTACAAAAAAGCACCCGCTACATTTTGTTAACGGTATAAGTGATTGACTAAGGTGGAACTAATGACGATGATCAAAAGAGATAATTATAATGGGATAAATGGAAAGGAAGTGTTAGTGAATCAAGATATCAAATTAACTGATACCTTTCATTTCGTAATCCTCTCTTGACTGGATTAATTGAGGTTCTATTACGTCCGTTTCAATGACACTTCTGCTCATTTCATACCAATTATATTTGAGACCAAGAACCATTCTAGATATAAAATAAGTAAGATAAAATAACTTACTTGCTCGGATAGTGCGTGGCAGAATGAGGAGAAGTAAAATAAAGGACTCAAACAATGTTGGCGCCATTCTGGTCAGAAATCCTAAGTCGTAGCTGACTGAGGAGCTGGCAGTTTTATTACCTGGAAATATTCACAAATTTGATTCCTTATATTTAATCAAACCTAAACCTGGATTTACTAATGTTTTTGTTGATGTATAAATGGCAAGAATCGACTTTAAAAGCCCACCATACATGCATGCTTTTGTCATTACCATTTAAATGATTTTACCATTACCATATAAATGATTTAATGATTTTAGTTATATTATTCATTATTGTAAGGCGCCTTGAGGTAGCACGTAAGGCGCCATATAAGAAGATTATTATTATTATTATTATTATTATTATTATAAACTCTTTATAAAGGAAGTTTCCTGAAAGTGGAGTGCTCGCGCTAATAACATTGAAATGCCCTTTTTTTGTTTTAAAAGATTTTCACTTTTGCACTTTCATCTGTACTTCAACTTTGAAACAGATACCATCCATCCATACCACATACAAACTGCAATGGTGGCTACACTAAACAAAATGTATTACAAATAGGTAAAATGTGCATTACCAAAAGAGAACGATAAAAAAACACGTCTTCTTCTGATCTGCTCTCTAATTTAGGCTCAATACTACATTTTTGGTTTGATTAAAGCTCAGGCAAGTTGAATCCACCATTATATCTGATCTTTAGACCTTATCGTGTGGGTCTAAAACATGCGTTCGTGATCATAGGTCAAGGGAATTCAAATGACCTAATCACCACACCACCTTAACAAGAATATGTGGCTTTAGATGAATCACATGAATACTTTGGTATTATATTTTATGAATTATTAAATTAAAAACACTTATTTTCTTCTTTGTCCTTAGATTTACATCTAGAAGCTAAAATCAATGGAGATGGAAACAAAAAAGAACATTTCAATCTAATTTCTCACCTCAGAAAGAACGCAGTCCAGAGTTTAACACCAGGTTCTTGACTGGGTTGAAGCTTTCTCTGTTCACTTCCTGTACCCACCTCTTCCCTTCTGTTTTTAGGGACAATACACAAAGACATGCGCCTTTTATCAACTCGTTAACTGCATGACAAAAACAGATGGCTATTTAGAGAAGTCAACACTAAAATATGAAACTCGTGGGTTTGATATTTTATCACGAATCAGAACAGGGATAAAGCACCGGATGTATCCCAAACGATTTCTTCAATGGGGAAATCGTTGTAAAATGTGAGGTAAAAAGTCGTGACTTAAGTTAATAAATACATGTAGACTGCATGCCAGTGGAAAATTAACTGATTCGTAAAGAGCAATTGCAACACAAGTGTCATGACACAACAGCACACGAATTGGTGTCTTTCAAATTTCAATTTCGCCAATTTTTTTTTTTTTTTTTTTTTTTTTTTTGGTAGGTGAAGACAGGGAGGAAATGTTACTTAAGCGATTCAATAAAACTCTTCTTTGCGAGCACTCACAAGGAAAAACCGTTAGATGGTTTATCTTGGCCCTGTTTTTCAGACAAAGCACGCCACCATAAATCCCCTTATATGGTCGTTGTGGTTCTCCTCTGTCGATAAATAACTGTTCAGACGACCACGGTGCCTGATTTTATTGTTATTGCTTCAATTTCTTTTTGCACTAAAGGTCAGTTTAAAACACGTGTTAGGTCTATAAAAAGGTGTTTATTAAAACTTGCACCTGCATTTATCAGAATTATGAACTCAGCTGGTTAAATAGAACACATCGCCTTGGGATCTCCAGATTTAAAAACAAAATGCAGATTTAAAATCATTTGATGAAAAGTACAAAAGCTAAGAAATATGTTCATTACCCTTTTTACTTATTCCTCTGATTGTTTAAAATGAACGAACTTTTGAAAAACTTCCAGACAGAAGGAAAGATGGACAGCCTAAAGGGCACACTTTAGGCTAGCATCTTCCGTTTTTAATTCTTTTTATCTTGATAAGAACCCTGGTCAGTTACCCTTGCTACTCCTTACAGACACTGACTAGCTACTTGTAATGCAAAAATGGCAGCATCTTAACCATTATGATGTTGGGTGTTTAATTATAAGACTAAGTTTTAATTAACATTGGTGGCGGTCAGTAGAACCATTAGAGAGCCAGGGTCATTCAAATGTTAATATCTCCGAGATGGACAGTCCACAAATTAAGTGTCATAAATATATTTTCCCTTTGTGAGAACCTGGTGCATTAGCGTCGTACAGAGTTAATGTATCTGCCTGGGCGCCCATTCGTATGCCTCTTTTGAAAATGTTTGTGAACAGGTCAAAGTTGCACTTGAAAAAATATATGTAACATTATTTCTCATAACAAGCATAGAACTGTTCACCTTATGCGTTATGGAACAGAACTTTTAAAAAGTTTTGATATTTATTTTACAAAAACTTTAGACTATTTATCTACTGTAGGTTCATCGTGGTATTGACAAAAGAGTGTTCTTTTTAATATAATTAGGATTTATTTATTTATTTATTGCAACTCAAAAAGCGATATAATGTTTCCCAATTTAATGATCAGCATTTGCTCAAAAGATAAAGTCAGTAGAATCACAAAAGAAGATTCCTTTTCTACCAAGATATTGGTTTTTTAACATTTAAAATCGACAAAGGTATATGGATGAACACATTTCACATAATATGACTGTCGTTGAGAGAAAGGAAGTGCCTCTGCAAGCGCGAAAAGTTGGCCAATCGCAAGATGTCTTTGTGTTAGGAAAGTCATCATCATAGAACACAGGAGCGACATGGTTCAATGTAGGTGTTACTCCGTGTCCTTCAGACTAAAATAGAGCGTCCTTTTACAATAAATATCAGACCGGACCTCATTATTTGCATATTAAAGGTTGTTTTCTTCATTTTAACCGGTTATTTAGACTCAAGGATTTCAGTTCCGTTATCATACGACGCGGACCATTTAGGTGTGACAACATCTTTGTTAAGGTATTTTCTTTTGGATTTCTCCGAATTTTCAGTGAAATTATTTTATTTTGTTAAAACGATATGATAATACAGTTTATAGTCTTACATTTTCCTATTTAGTTTGTAGATAACTTGTGTTTAGAGTCAAATTATTGATTTTTACGCCTGCCCAAAAATTGTTTTTTTCGCGCCAATTGCTTGGAAATTACATGTTGTGGACAAGAACTTTGATAATATAAAAGACATCGAGATATTTCTTTCAGTGTATTATCAAGCCAAATCATGTCGTATGCCGCTTCTTTAAATACCAGATTAATTTTTTTTCGATTGTCTATACTGTTATAAATTTATCAATAAGAATCTTGAATAACTCGTCTTTTAAATGCTTACAATTTTTCGTCGTAATTATAGGATATCTGTTATCAATAATACAGCAGGATAATGAGTGTGCTATTGAAGACAGTCTTCTTGATCTTGACCTTGCTGGTCAGCTGTACTCAAGGTTAGTACCCGGTTGTGGATAATAAGAAAAATTATTATGTTATTGTGCTATACATTATTATGCTTTTGATTTTAGACATTTCACTAGCGCGAAAAAGAAGTGCATTTGACCGTCATCAGGCGTCCTTTTTTATTGTCGCAAGTTTGCAAATCTGAACACTGTTTGTTTTGCGAATAAGTGATATTTGGTTTATGAAAGAAATAACCGGTAAACCTCTTTTGATATTTTAACAAAATATATTGAAGGATGGGAAATCATTCCATATTACAATATAAGCAAAAACTTTAACTTCGAAAAATCTTGCATATATTCTTTCTTTGTCTTTTACTCATTTTTGCTGCAAGCATTCTTTGCTCTCCACAATTGCCCAGGGCCTAAGTAACAACATTGACGGGGCGTTCAGAAATGTATATTTCTTGGTACACTTGACTTTTCCAGCACAAACGTGTCAAGGCACGTGTACAGGCACGGCTGCCATTGGGGCTTTTTACCCGATAGATGGCGACTACGACGCTGCGGCGTGCGGCTGTTTCATGTTGGCGACGCATACAGAGCCAATCTTCCAGAGCAATGCAGACGCTCTATGTCGAAGTACATATGGGGACGCTGGGTCGGTTTTGTACCGGTTCACAGCTACTGCTGTCGGTAACACCCCTACAGACGACCAGAACTTAAGAACCGAGTGCTATAGGGGCATTAATGCCAAATTAGAGCCAGGTATGTGAAGTAATAAACATGAATTGATATGAATGTGTATGATATAGTGTATTGATCAACGTAACCATAATGCATTACTTGACCTCGAAAGTTCATCGCTATCTTTAAATAGAAACGAGGAAATTATTTTCACCGTTTGCTTTTGTGGTTTTTCAATCTGTTTTGCTGTTTTTCATGACGAAAACGTGATTTGAGAATGATTGCTCGTATATAGTTGTGAAAAATATATCTTTTTTGTGGAAATTTGTCAGAAGAGTTGAAATAAATTCGAGCTTCAGGCCTCGCTGAAATTGATGTTTTTTTTTTTTTATTTCAGAATGATACTTGTTTGTAATTAAAATTTTTGTCTTACATATTATCTATTACATTTTCATTTATATGTTATAGCGCCGGGACCAGGATGTGTGACGACGACAGAAACTCCACCTACAACCACTCCCACCACGACTCCATCTCCACCCACAACCCCGCCTACAACCCCGCCCACAACCCTGCCTACAACCTCTGCCGCTCCGCCCACAACCTCTGCCGCTCCGCCTATGACCACTGTAAACACGCCCAGCACCACCTGTGGCCTACCACGTCAGTTTGGTTTCCTGTGTAACATCAAGCCCGTCCCTGGATGGCCGCCTGCCAATCAGGTAACCCCGCCCCCTGTCAGTGGACCCATACCACCACTGCCACCTGGCGGCCCCCCAATTTTTGCCCCTCGCGGGAACTGGTGGCGCCTCTTTTTAAACAGCTTACCCAGTGCTCCCTTTAACTACCAAACACCGAGCCCAACGACTGCCGCCCCCATCTTCGTTATGCCGCCGGGAAATATGCCTGGAAGAAGGAAACGTAACGCCCAAGTACCAAGGCCGTGCCCAGGGGAATTGTACTGGATAGACGCTAAACTGCAGACTATTCTCTTACAAGATCCGCCCGTAGCAGTCCTGCAAGCCGAAAATGGCGGTGAGTTTTCAGTCACTTTAGTCCCCTATCGTGATGACTAAGATATTTGCTAATCTGTATTAAAAGTAACATATATATTTTGCGAATCTGTATGAAAAGTAATTTTTCATTATAGATTTAATTCTGTTAAAAACATAGAAAGTATCGATTACATGTTTTAAAGATAGAAAAATGCAGAAGCAATTGTTTTATTTTGTATTTCAGAGGTGTTCCGAGTTGCTCAGAATTTATGGGCCAACACGCCAAGTTTGTTCCCGAACATTCTCCGCTGTGTGGCGCTGCAGTTTGACATCCAGCCACTGTCTATTATGCACATGCGCGTGCGATTCCTGGACTGTGCAACGCGGTTGCCCAATTTCATATGTAAAACTGGAGGGGCGTGCCTTACGCCATAGTAACCTCTGCCGGTCCAGTGAAGGGATTATTTCTTCATCGGAATGGGTTGATTAGTGGACAATATAATTTTTTTCACAAATTTGATGACGCTTTCAGGACAGCCAGATTTAAAGAGGGAGAAAAGTGATTACAATCATAACTGAATCTGGTCTCCTTACATTTTTTAAGATTGTTATTGCCTTTTTTTCCATGCTGAAGGCCCGCGTTCTTGGAGTGCTTTCTAGTTCTTTCTCAACTAAATTCTTGGCTTTTAAAACGGCGAAATATAAATATCACGTTGAAGATACACAGTCGCAATCTAGATCTACGCAACTTGACACAATGCGTCAAACAAGCAATTATTATCATAAATAGCCTACTTTTAAACATCGTAATTATTGTTTGACTTTATTATCAGTTTTTTCCTATAAAAATAATAACTTTGAATGGATAAAGATTTTGTATGTTCATGGACTGATAGATCATATTGGTCTAAAATATGTTGTATATATAGTAAGTGCATGTAGTAGATTATTTAATCAGAACGCTGGAAATGATTACGAAAATATATTATATGCAATCATTTATTAACAATGGAGTGTTTATTATTCCATCAGCTTGCAGAGCTCACGACATGCTTGCTTCGTTACTACGTAGACCCCATAAGCTTTATTTATTTATTTATTTATTTATTTATTTATTTATTTATTAAATGCCCCCAGGAAGGCGCACGCCGTCTACAAACTACTACTAAGGGGAGAGGAGAGAAGGGGGGGGGGGGCAACCATGACTGTGTTAGAGGAGACCCTGATTGTGTTGGAGGAGCATCCACGTGATGAATTTGGTGACGTGGGGCGGAGATAAAAATACATGATGGAAGACTCTGGTGCAAGTTTTCTGAAATAGAGTGTTTGATTTAAACAACATATAGGCTTCAATTATAAATATTATATTATATTGATCTATGTTAACAATTAAGTGGGCGTCAGTCAAAAACGCTTTGACCGTGATATTCATGAAGAGTTTGGTCTACAACTTCTCACCTGAATGCGCCATAGGCCCTACCTGTTTTAATTTGTATAACAATAAGTCACTCAGCGCAGTGCGAGCTGTCTTTCAGAGTAGTCGGTTGACAGTTGGACACCGCTGGGTGAAGACGCAAAGATAGGTGTGGTGCAGTCGAAAGGTCGAGCGTTTATTTTGTGCACAGAAACAAATTTATTATTTTGTAAGTACCAGGACATCTTCATTCACCTTCATCATTACATTTTACCGGTAAATGTCAAAGGAATGAAAGAACAGTTACGCCAAATGTGTTTAGCACAAAGCACGTGTCTTCATTAGGCTTATATTATGCCTATTGCTGTCAGTCAGATTATTGAAATCGTTTGGCTTTGAATATTTGTCACAGTGCTTTGGGATTGAAAACGCGCAGGAAAAGTTGCTATAACTTTGTTTGTCTTTCAGAAGAGTCACGCGACAGTTAGACACCTTAGGTGAAAAGGCCGGGATAGGTTTGGCGCAGAATTCATTAGGCGTAGAACCAAATGCTTAGTAAGTATCGCTACTTCTTTATTAAACGTACTAAATGTGCAGTACAAAGAGAGAAAATTATGACATTAGTGAATGGCATTCACCTTTATTTTTTAGCTGGTTGTTGTCAGTCTGAAAATTAAGTGTTTATGATAAATGTTTCGATGCTTCTTATTTGAAAACTGTGCGAATGCAAGAGCACAGTAATGTAGATGCTTGCTTGCTGTGTCCTAGGATTAAAGCTTTCTTGGATCCTAGCTGAGTCTGAACTTTAAACGAGACAATCAACCCCACGTGTGGTTAATTACAAGTACGCTTTCCTCTGTGATACATCAATTAAGAGCCCTTCCGTTTGGTCAAGACATGTAATTCATTGCCGTTATTTTCTCATTTCAGAATCCCACCGAGACACTGCACATCAAGCACCAGCCGTTTGTTAGCACTGAGAAACCCTGCGCCCGTTTATGCATTTATTATATTTAACCAAATAAATACATTTATTATATTAGAACTGAATAAATACATTTTTCTGTGGTTTTTTTCATTTTGATATGATGATGATGAAGATTGTAGTAAATCCAAAGGAGAAAAGGAAGACGATATGCATGTGATAATTGTTTGAGCACTTTAAAATTCAATCTGCTTGGTATGATCTGTAAATATTGCTTTTGGAATTGGTTTTTATATACAGATGTAGCTTGTCTGTATATATTGTCAACTGCGTCTGTCATTGTCCTCGCTGTCGTGCGCTTTTCATAAATGTTTACTTGTTATACTTGATACATAGCACTTAAAAGTCCGGTCAAGCAGTTACCTCTTTTGCTAAAACTTGCCCTTTTCATTACAGTTTGAAATCCTTGCTTGGATAATAAATGGAACACAGTCCTTAATGCAGACTAAGCATTCATTTTTCTCTAACTTCTGATAATGATTCTGAAATGAAATGCAGCCCTGTTTCGAATAACTGCCTTTTTCCTGTCTTTAATAAATTTCTTTTTAGCATCGTCCTCTCGGGTATTCTTTTCCCTGATTTTTTTAAAATTTAGCTAAGAACAATTTTGGGTGGGTTTGGGTTTTTGCTACCACAAATTGATTTTAATTTGACGACTAAGTTTTGTTACTACACCTAAAAATAATAAAAAGATAGTTGAAAATGTGAAAAACATTTCAGCAACATTAAATGACACTTAGCAAATGACAACAGTTGAAATTTGCTTAAAATCGTTCTTTATATTATACTTGTAGGTTTATATGCCAAGCTTTACTGCTTAAATATACGTTCTTTTGTTTGCATGCATTTCTTTTTTTTTTTGTTCACGGTGACTTACCCCGGCAAATATTATTCACTATGCAATGTACATTTGAAAAAAATATTTGAAAATAAACGTGTAAATAAACTGCTTCGTTTTTGATAAATTTTATATGCCCACTGCTACAAAATGGTTGTGGTCATCCCTCATATTGAGTGATCTCGCCCCACCTTTCACCCCTAAGAAGAATGGACCCAACCTACCTGCCATCCCTCAGATGGAATGAACTTGTCCCACCTATAACCCCTCGAATGGAATGGGTCGCTCCAACCTATCACCCCTCGAAAAGAATGGAGTCTTCCCACCTGTCACCCCTCAAATAGAATGGGCTCTCCCCACTTGTCACCCCTAAAAAAAATGGACTTGCCCCACCTGTCAGCCCTTGAATAAATTGGACTCGCCCCACCTGCCACCCCTCAAATAGAATGGACTCGCCCCACCTGTCACCCCTCGAATAGAATGGACTTGCCCCACCTGTCACCCCTTAAATAGAATGCACTCGCCCGACCTATCACCTCTTGAATCGAATGTCATTCCCCAAATTAATACACTCACCCAAGGCTTGGCTGTCATTCCAAACAATGCAATAGCATTTATATTACTAGACAAAAACGAACAGTATAAAGGTTTTAATGCATTTTTATTTTACGACAACTTCAGTCAGAGGAAAATAAACAGTGAACAAAATAAATAGAAAGAATGCTTGAAAATTTCATAAATGTGAGCCGTTTAAACCTAGAGCATTGCATGAAAAAGATATTAATGAACCAACGTAGACCGTGAAATAGATTCTAACATTTAACAAGGAACAAATACATTGATATTGATATTGAAACCGAAAAGCAGTCACTCAAGATTTGATGCAGTCGAATAATTAAAGAAAGAGAAAAAAATAAGAAATTCTTCCGGAAGGCTTAAAACAGAATTTTTCATTTGATTTGAAAATAACGGAATTTGAGTAATGGAACGTCGTTTTTTAGAAACCATCCTAAAATTGACATCGAACTAGATAAAAGTATATAGTATTTATGAATATCGTATATATTGCGCTGTACAGAATAGAATAAAGGGGATGGTAACTTTCTTAAATATGAATGGAAAGAATGAACAGGTTAGTTCCACAATTTAAGTTTTGTGTCGTAATGCATTACATTTTAGCAATCGTGATTTCAATAGAATTTTTGTGCTAATGGCAACTTTTACAATTTACAAATTTCGAAATTTCTAAGGAGCATAAATTCAGCGAGAGTATATTTCAGGTTCTGAAATACAGTTCATTTCAATTTGTCTCTTATGTCAGCATCTTTCAGATGAAATAAAGAAACTCCCAAAAAAAGTGCATTTATTCAGGCAATAGTATTTGTCGTTCAACGGGTCACGTTATAATATTGCCAAATGATGAAATAACAACATTGATTTGCACAACGTAAATCATAAAGCAAACAACACAATAGCTGATCTATTGAATAAACAGTCTTACTCTATTGTCAAATGATATGGTGAAAATTGCACTTTCATGTTCAAGTTTGAAAGTGTGATATGCAAACACTTAAAAAAACTACATTATGACATTTTTAACACTATTAGTTTCAAATAGAATTGGTAACATCCGAGCTTTCTCCAAGGTGTAATTTGGAAAAGGCACTATTAATCAAAGGAGTCATTTGAAAACAAAATGGACTGGGTATTATTTAAAAAGAGAATGAGATCAATCTTGGTATTTTTCACTATGTAACAAAATTTATTTAAAAAAAACAATAAGTTTATGCTCGAGTTTCACCATATAGCGTGTGCGCACGTGTGGGTGTATCTGTATTCGCTTCCAAAATACGGGAACAGGCCTGACAAGCTTCCATCAGACGCACAGGCATTTTCCAGAATCTCGTCAAAGGAGAAGGCAGTTCTGAAACATGAAAATAAGGTTAAAGATCAATATCCAAATGCAACAGAAAGTGAACTAAAATTAAAAGTACTAAAAAATATAAAGATCTGAGATGGTGTTGAAAACATTGTACAACGCTGAGCGAACACCAAAAGGAAAAATCGAACAAAAAGGAAAATACACCGCAGAGGGGTGGGGGGAGAGGAGGATCGTCACTTTGAATCTGCTTTTTCAAAATTTCCCTATAAAATCTGCCACCCTGGTAGTGGGTAGACAATAGCATGGCCATACAAACAGCCATTCTCTCATTCTTCTCAGTGACGATTATATTTTGTCTAATATTGGCCTGATTCTAACGTGCCCCTTTATTTTTGTTTTATGCTATAGTATGCTCCACAATGGAAAGAAATTAACAGTAATTAAAGAGTGATATGGAACAAATAGAACACATACAATGTAATGACGCGACTCTAGGGCACTTTTTCCTGGGATGCTTCTTCTTTATAAAGCACATAATGAGTTATGCACCTTAGGCCCGACTCTTTTCACTTCTATACGTTTTTGAAAAAATGTAACTTACAAGACAACTTTCCTTCCACGCTGAATTACACGCTTGGCCTTGTGACTTCACCACACCCGTCCTGCGTCCTCTTCTTACAGGGTCCAGCTGTCAACTGACTACTCTGGAAGACAGCTCGCACTGCGCTGAGCGACTTATTGTTATGCAAATGACAACAGGTATGAGGTAGAAGATTCCGTTAAATTTTTATTCTAACAAGAAAGGTGGTATATGATCTTATATATTGATCGATAAGATTCAACATTTCTCTGCATGAGCTCTTGACTGCAGCAGATCATTTTATCAATCGTACACGTGTCCTAAAGCCCCTCCTCACAGTATACACCAAGACCTAATACTGTGCCCACTTCACACTACTGGAAGGTCATTGGTTAAGACAGATGTAGTTCGTTCACCTGTTTGTTGTCATGTTAATGCAGTGGTATATTCTGAGTGCGGGGATAGACAGTAACTGTCACTACTAAAACATTTACACAGAGAACAGACATATCACAATATTTAATTAACAAAAATATTAATTAATCGCATTTAGGCTTCACTGAATAAAAGTGCGGCATGTTGTTCACCGATAGAAAAGAAACAAACAAAACATTAATAAACTGCGATTATTAAACTGACTAAAACTGTTAAAAATGCTAAGTTAGGCATTGGAAATAGGAAAAGGTGTCTAAAATAAAATCACGAGTCCGGGACTTAAGAAGGGGTTCAAGTTGAACATGTTTGGGCTAAAACCATGGGCAAATTATTCACGCTGTCACATTTAGTACATGTCAAAGAAAAAAAGAGCCAATATCTTATTTTTGCTAGTACTGGTCATTGTATATCGGTAAACAAAATAACAAAGACATGTTCTTTTTTATTTTTAAATATCTTTATTTATAATCACAGTTTAGCCTGCATTTTAGCATAAAACAAATAACCTTTCACGGTAGATTTCTGAATGGCCCAAGCGTTTATATAAATGACTGTCAAATCATTACGTGTACTTAGCAATAAACAGAGCACTTGTCAAGCAGTGCCTCAGTGCTTGTAATACAAGTAAGAAAGCAATCAAAGCAAAACATTGGGACGCGGTGCCTACTTCTCTTATATCTCAAAAGAAAGCAGAAGCTATTTCCACATTAATACATTTGTTCATATCTCATCAAATGTAATGAGATACGTGATTACAGCTTTAACTTCATGAACACAGAGTTTCAACTCATTGTTAACATCTCTCTTATGTTATCTTCATTAATATCTAAGATCAATATCAAGATCCTTATTACTGCTCAGTTCAAAACCTATAAGATAAAAGTCTGCAGTAAAATACAAAAGCGTCTTGCTAATAACATGTCTTTTTGTGGGTTGAGTATATCAACTTTACTTTAAAATCTACACATAATTCTCAACCTATATACATGTATCTCATAAAAACCACCAACCATTTCTGACATTTGGCACGATAAATTTGATTCCATCTCTTCTCTATTCTATTATACTAGTTACAGTTGGAATAAAACACGTGTATTACCAATATTTACATCTCACAAAAGCTTTGGTATACATGACAATATATCATACATCTTTTTATCTTCTATGTACATTAAAAACCAGCAGGCTAAGAAATATTTCACGAAAGTATCAAACTAAACAAAGCCAAAGCAACTACAGAGACTTAGCATGGAAACTAATTTTAGTTGATCCCCCTTGTACTATTCTTAGTTTCAGAACTGCGCTTCATTTTATTCCGTTTTTCATTCATTGGCTATTACTATGCCAGAGTAATTGGCTAAATACATCTATTCAAAACAGCAACAACAAACTGACTAGCAAGTCAGAGATACCAACGATGTTATACAAGTACTATTCATCTACATACTGACAATAGGATAGCCTCATCAAAAGTTAACAGAGGAAGAAATGAAAAATAAGTTACAAAACTTTCTAAAATCAGTATCCCCATGAACAAAATTGTGGTGTGGTAAAAGAGTTCTATCATTAACACATTCCCATTATTCCAGCTTCTACAAGAGGGAACATTCTACTAAGCTATGACATAAAAGCCAGATTCAGCAGTTTAGCCACTTTTACATTACATCACAAGGTGACATATAAATATTCAACTAACACAAAGGCAAGCATACAAAGTGCTTTAACAGTTTTATACTTCATCTTCCAGGATGTTCTAGGGTTCGAGTACATTTGCCAAAATAGTATATTGAGGTTTCAATTCTACTTAATTTTTTTAAATAAATGGAAAACAAATAATGTAAAACTAAATCAAATCTGTTAATTTAATGTTGTTTTCATGAATTAACACCAATCCTTCAGCTCTGTACTCTGAAATGGGGTTGTAATATAATTTCTAGCTCTTATTCTTAATAACCTTTACAAATGAGATCATTTATGACTAGATATTATTTTATTTGGATTATCCTGCTGCTTTGCACCATCTATATACCTTTCATATATATATAACTTAACAACAACATCAGTTTTTACAAGAGAAGCACTTTTGAACTTGAAATATGTACATTTTTACATGTTATATGATCCTATATCCAAACTATGAAAATCGAATATTGTTTGGATCATCTGCCATCTCTGGGAAATCATTGACGTCTCTGATGTAGTTCCCAGNAATAAACTGCGATTATTAAACTGACTAAAACTGTTAAAAATGCTAAGTTAGGCATTGGAAATAGGAAAAGGTGTCTAAAATAAAATCACGAGTCCGGGACTTATGAAGGGGTTCAAGTTGAACATGTTTGGGCTAAAACCATGGGCAAATTATTCACGCTGTCACATTTAGTACATGTCAAAGAAAAAAAGAGCCAATATCTTATTTTTGCTAGTACTGGTCATTGTATATCGGTAAACAAAATAACAAAGACATGTTCTTTTTTATTTTTAAATATTTTTATTTATAATCACAGTTTAGCCTGCATTTTAGCATAAAACAAATAACCTTTCACGGTAGATTTCTGAATGGCCCAAGCGTTTATATAAATGACTGTCAAACCATTACGTGTACTTAGCATTAAACAGAGCACTTTTCAAGCAGTGCCTCAGTGCTTGTAATACAAGTAAGAAAGCAACCAAAGCAAGACATTGGGACGCGGTGCCTACTTCTCTTATATCTCAAAAGAAAGCAGAAGCTATTTCCACATTAATACATCTGTTCATATCTCATCAAATGTTATGAGATACGTAATTACAGCTTAAACTTCATGAACACAGAGTTTCAACTCGTTGTAAACATCTCTCTTATGTTATCTTCATTAATATCTAAGATCAATATCAAGATCCTTATTACTGCTCAGTTCAAAACCTATAAGATAAAAGTCTGCAGTAAAATACAAAAGCTTCTTGCTAATAACATGTCTTTTTGTGGGTTGAGTATATCAACTTTAATTTAAAATCTACACATAATTCTCAACCTATATACATGTATCTCATGAAAACCACCAACCATTTCTGACATTTGGCACGATAAATTTGATTCCATCTCTTCTCTATTCTATTATACTAGTTACAGTTGGAATAAAACACATGTATTACCAATATTTACATCTCACAAAAGCTTTGTTGTACATGACAATATCATACATCTTTTTATCTTCTATGTACATTAAAAACCAGCAGACTAAGAAACATTTCACGAAAGTATCAAACTAAACAAAGCCAAAGCAACTACAGAGACTTAGCATGGAAACTAATTTTTAGTTGATCCCCTTGTACTATTCTTAGTTTCAGAACTGCGCTTCATTTTATTCCGTTTTTCATTCATTGGCTATTACTATGCCAGAGTAATTGGCTAAATACATCTATTCAAAACAGCAACAACAAACTGACTATCAAGTCGGAGATACCAACGATGTTATACAAGTACCATTCATCTACATATTGACAATAAGACAGCCTCATCAAAAGTTAGCAGAGGAAGAAATGAAAAATAAGTTACAAAACTTTCTAAAATCAGTATCCCCATGAACAAAATTGTGGTGTAGTAAAAGAGTTCTATCATTAACACATTCCCATTATTCCAGCTTCTACAAGAGGGAACATTCTACTAAGCTATGACATAAAAGCCAGATTCAGCAGTTTAGCCACTTTTACATTACATCACAAGGTGACATATAAATATTCAACTAACACAGAGGCAAGTATACAAAGTGCTTTAACAGTTTTATACTTCATCTTCCAGGATGTTCTAGGGTTCGAGTACATTTGCCAAAATAGTATATTGAGGTTTCAATTCTACTTAATTTTTTTAAATAAATGGAAAACAAATAATGTAAAACTAAATCAAATCTGTTAATTTAATGTTGTTTTCATGAATTAACACCAATCCTTCAGCTCTGTACTCTGAAATGGGGTTGTAATATAACTTCTAGCTCTTATTCTTATAACCTTTACAAATGAGATCATTTATGACTAGATATTATTTTATTTGGATTATCCTGCTGCTTTGCACCATCTATATACCTTTCATATATATATAACTTAACAACAACATCAGTTTTTACAAGAGAAGCACTTTTGAACTTGAAATATGTACATTTTTACATGTTATATGATCCTATATCCAAACTATGAAAATCGAATATTGTTTGGATCATCTGCCATCTCTGGGAAATCATTGACGTCTCTGATGTAGTTCCTTGAATATCCAGAGGCTTTCCCTCTCTGTTCAATCTGCTCTTTTTCTTCTGGAGACCAGTTTCTTGAACCAGATTGGTTGCTTAGCAACAAGTGCCTCTCTTTGGCCCAAGCCTGTGTAATGGCTTTTGATTTGGCCTGCTCTAAGAGAACAGAGTACTGTTTCTCTACAGTTGTTCCATACAAGATATATACCATAACATAATCATTCTCAAGCTTAGTAATAGCCATCCTGTTGGTCTTTTCCTGTGTCCATTCCACAGAGAAATTAACTCCATTGGACAGTGTTTTGAATTCTGCCCCAATCCCTGCTGCTTGGAGATCTGCAGCGGCCATTGCTGTTTCCTGTTTTACAAAATAATGAACATCTTTTCCTTCTTGAGTTAAAGCCAGTGGCACCACTAAGGAATTGTTTAATAATAGAGACATCACATTGCTGCTGGGTTGGAGTTGTTCTGAAAGAGTCACGACAGCTTTACCTTCACGAACAGACAACAACAACCCATCGCCAAAAACTCCACTAGCTGGCGCCACCTTCTGGAGCTCCGCCCTCTCTGGAGGCATCATGTCGGAGGGGGTAACAGTTGACATGGTAAGGAAGTTTGCGGAGTCTCGTTCAAAGGCACACTGGAAGACAGATGTAACAGGAAGAAGTCTCCGTGAAGCGGTATAGCGATGCCAGTCGGTGCCCTTGTGAATTTGCCCATCAAAGGTGATTGAGGGAATCAAGCTCTTCATGTCATATCCAAGAACATTCATCCAAGAAAGAATATCTGAAAAGTAAAAGTAATTTAATTATTAGCTGCAATGGAATACAAACACCAGGGAAATTTTCAATTAGCACAAAAAATGTTCATTTAAATACAAATACAAAAGAAATGTTCCAAGCACTAATCAAAAAATACAAAAGTGACTTCATACTAAATCAGTATTTTCCTATTATAATTTTTCATTGGTTCTTTACAAGAACATTTTAAAACAAACCACTACATACCCTTCATGTCCAACTCCTCATAATGTTGTAGAACTGCAGTTGGGTTTTGCAGCACATAGGACTGGATGCTCTGTGGATTGTGCAGCAGCTCAGTTTCCACTCTATGGAAAATGTCTCTATAACTTGGGGTAAGATATCTGCCTGTCATAGGGTCATAAAGACGGTCCCCCATGAAAACCAGTCCAGCCTCCCCATCATACAGTTTTCCATGGAAACCAAACATGAACTCAAAATGTGGTGGTGAATCTATTTCCACATTTCCAAAAGGTTCGTAAGAGATTTGTTTGACAATCATGCCAACGGAATCAAATATGGCAACAGGTGAACCCATTGGGTCAGTGGCAATGTAATAGTACCTGTCACCTTTTTCCATTGCCATAAGGCGATTCGATCCATCATAAAACAGTACTGTTGTCTCATATGAAGAGTGATTATATATGTGTGTAACAAGATTCTTATTAAGCACATTGCCATAATAGAACTGTACAAAAGCTCCATCACTGTCTTTCCTAGCGATGAGACGACTGTGTGCATCATAGTAATACCATATCTGTCTTCCATCGCCATTGGTCATACGTGTCAGCTGACCCTGAGAATTATACACAAATACATCCCTGTTTCTTTGGATCAAAAACCCATCACCATCAAACATGTATGTGTGATCTCCGTAGGAAACAAGGCGATCACTGTTATCAACAAGGACCTCCTTGAGACGACCAAATTGTGATACTGTGGCTAGGTTACCATTGGTATCATAGGTGTACTTCCATGATGACTGGCCCTGCAGTAATACATCCACTATGTTGTCATCAATGTCATAAGAATAGTCAAAAGCCTTTTCATCTCCCCTGCCTATTTCTCTGGACCAGCGCTGTAGCCTGCCAACACTATCATATGTGATAGCCATGTGGTACACCTGCTCATTATTGAACTTGTATTGCACTTCATTAAGGCGACTGTATTCATCAAATGCCTTTGTAATCTCAACATGTATATTCCTGATCACCACTTTGTTATACTGTGGATATGAAAACACAAAGGAACGCATGGTCAGAAGTTTCCCAGTGGTATTGTTATAGCTCAACTTCAGTGGAACCAATTCATTGGAGCCAATGGTTGCTTTGAGAGTAGAGATCCTAAAGTTGTTGTCATAATCATACTCAAACCTGCCTTGAATGTATCTCCTATCCTTAAATGTAATCCCATATGAAGTTGCAAATTGCTCTGAAGGTTTATAATCCAGAAGACAGCCAAAGTTTCCACTTTGAAGGTCATAACCTGTCCGAAGTTTGGACTTCTCGTTGTATAAATGCCTAATTGTTGTTTCTCCAGATATCACTTTCTCCAGGAGTGCCTTTTCATTATAATAATAGTACACCCTCCTAAGATTACTGGGATACTGAATCCTTAGTAACCGTCCATCACTGGTGTAATCTTCCAAATATGGCATCTGTGTCCCTGGTAACCTATATAGGTATCTATGGAAACCTACAGAGACTAGCCTATCAAAACTGTGGGTTCCACTGTTGGGCGTTGTCAATTTGGCCAGGTTGCCATGGAGATCATACTTGAAGTGATATCTCTTTCCACTTGGTAAGGCTATTTCAGTTGGCTAGTTAAAACAAATATAGTGTAAGGTTAGTCATAATCAGAAAAAGATTTTCAATACAAACAAAGACAACAAATATAAATGATTAAATTTAACATTTGGTACAATTTACATGTACCTAAATATAAGCTCGCATTATACTGCATTTCAACCAAATTCTATTATGTAACCTGCAAATTGAAAACAAAAATACTAGGAAAGCACTCAGAGAGCACAGATCTCTGCTAGCTCAATACACATTATTACTAAATGAATGAATTGCCACCAAAATATAACTGATTTGAAGGTAGCTCAATTTTTACCTATCCTGAAAATACGATCAAAATCCATCCACAACTTTTTTCGAAAATATATTGCTAACAAACAACCATGCTGCCAAATCAATACAAAAAATTATTCTCTTGGTGGAGGTAAATCTAAGCTCCGTACCTTATCACCTCCCCTGTACATCCACATCTGGGTGGCACCGTTACTCTTCACCCTCTTATTCAACTGGCCGCGTGCGTCGTAATCCCAGCGCTGCGTTAAATCTCCTTTCTGCCATTTGACCATACGTCCCTGTGGGTCCAGAGTGACATTGACAGGTTTTAGATTCAGAGAAGATACAAAAGCCTCGGCCTGGCCTGCAGAGTTATATATAATGGTGAGGAGTTCTTTCCAGTTAACGTCCATAATTGTCTCAGTGTTGGCCTCTCTGTCGTATTCGATAGTCAAAACATGCTCTCCATTGACCTGAAAAAGACGATATCAAAATGACATACCTGTATTACCTAATGTGCACAAATTTCAGTCTATCCAAATTTTAACATTAAACAGGATATATTCTATGTTTAAATCAATTTATATCTTGGGCAGCATGCTCTTGAACAATTGATAAAACAAAATGCATCACTGACCGCATGGATCTTTATTTTTAAACTAGCTGTAGTCTGTAACTTTCAATAAGGGGGAACTCTATCAAACCTACATTGCATTCAACAGTTTAGGAAACACGAGAGAACTAATGAAATATTCACTTTGAAAACTTCTACACATAAGATACATAGAATCTAGGCTTTTCCAACACAGGGGCATGACACAATTCTTAATAACTACTGGAGCCTGAAATTCTAAGAGTAATTATGCATACATGGGGTGTTGAACACTAAGCAGACAGAGGAACAGGATAAGGCTTAACTGTATCCCAAATCATATCAATGGATCTTAACCAGTTCTGTTAGTATACAGTGCCATTTCACGCCCAAGCATGTTAAGAGGAAAAATTTAAAAACATGCTTTCACATTCGCTTCCACAGGATGGTTCATTCTGAGCAACTCAAATTTGTCTCCTTATAGTTTTTCTTACTTCCTGCCACCATCATCCCCATGAACATTCCTGTATGGAAACAAGTGAAGCCCAAGCAGAAGCTTAAAGCCTTAAAACATAGCAAGAAAAATTTCCCAAGCATCACAAATTGTGCAAAATGCAGCCAACTAAAAGTGCAATCTTTTCTGTTGAATCAAAAATTTCTTAAGGTGCTTTTGTTCTTGAACAATAATTGCCCAAGTATTTGTCTTTCAGAAATTTGCTCATTTGTTACATTAATCTGCATGTTACAGAGATAACTCCTTTTATCATTTTCTTTATATTTTGTTGATAAAGAAAACAAGAGCTCATTCCAAAGAATAGAAGATCCAATTCAGAATAAGTAAAGACCCAGTCATTGTTTTCTTGGGTTAATAGTTTCTAACTAAGCAAGTTAGTGGCAGCGTACCAGTAGTAATTTGACTCCTATCATTTCATGCTGGTTAGCATGCCTGTTGCCATGCCTCGTACGGTGCGATTCGCCTACCCTCAGTCGCCGACCAATTCTCTCGACCTTCTTGCTCCTCCTGCTTTTTCCATCCCGTCTCAAATAAAAGCGCCACTCAAGTTTGTGCAGGAGGTTGTCTGGACCCAGAATTTTCCGTTTCACTTGCATCCTGTGCTCTGTGTCCAGCAATGGGTGAGTAGCTGTTTCCATGGTAACAGCTAAATTGTTGGGGTACTCGACAACTAAAGACCCATCATTTGAATAAGAAATATTTGCCCTCAAGTTGCCTAAAAAGCAAAACACACCACATCAAGCTTAAGTTTGGAAAAAAACATGCATTGGCATCACAGTGATCTTTGAACATTTAAAATTCCCACACTAGACAAAGTGACAAGCATGCTTTATAAAATATATGGTACCAAACACATCATAATCTTTCTCCATTTACATAAATTATAAAAAAGAAACGAAACAAAAGTGCATTTATTGGTGATGATAGTTGGACAGAAACAACAAAATATATAAAAACAAAGTTCAATATTTAAATAAGATATTTGTTTTAACCAAAAAAAAATGTGTATAAAACAATAAATATAAGGTAAAGAAAATCCCACCCCAAACCCCCAAACTAATAGAAGCTTAGAAGCTAACAATAGTAAAAGATGCTGGCTAAATCAATGCAAAAATTTCGAGAGAAAATTTAAAAATACAAATGATAAAATCACATAAAATCACAGATTATATCAAGACTAACGATTTTCATAATCACTGTATATAATTTCAGATAAATATATGATGTCAATCATTATTTATTATTAATAATTTTTCATTTGCATATCATATAATGTGTGTCATTCATTGTTGATAATCAAACAGCCTGACCCAAGGATGGACTTCAACACTTCCCATCATGCAAAGTCAATGGGGCCTCTTTGATCAACAAGTTGTTACCATTTCATGTGACAAAGAGACCACAATCATGCATCATTCTTTCCTGGGAGACAAAACATAGTTTTTAGTAAAAGGAAATAATAATACTTCCCTTAATAAGGGAGGTATCAAATGAATTTTCCCATAAATACTTTTCAAACAATTAGTCAAAAGATATTACTGTTGTTAATTTCCTTCATAAAATGATGTTTTTTTTTTCACAATGATATTGATGACAACCCCCAGTCCCCCACCTCCTCAATCCTGGGTCAAGCTAGACTAACAAAGCAGCGAAAGCAACTTGCCATGCAGGTACGCCAGCTGGTTGCCATTAGTTGCCATGGTTACCACATCAGCAGCATCAGTAGCAACCTTGACCACTGCACCTGTTGATGTAACATCAGTTTCCACGTTTGTCACCTCTCCCGTTGGCTGAATGACATGCGACACGCGGCCGTTGTCATCATACTCGTAGAAATAAGTGTGTTCACTATCGGTCCTCTTGGAGAATAGCAACCCACTACTGCTCAGATAGGTGAACGATACTGAATAATTTCCTGGAACTGTGAAGGTCTCCAGTTGACCTAAAGGATTCATTTTAACCTTTGACCTCTGACCTCCAGGTGACACAATTTCTTTGGCCCAAGTTGTGTAATCTCTTACAATCCTCAACTGGTTATTGTTTGGTCCTGTGACTGTGGTGAGTTTCCCATAGTATGAGTTGACACTGTATGTGAAGCTGTAGACTACAGTATCAGTCATTAGATTCTTGGTGGAGCGATGTTGCCCATATCTATTGAATGTGTACACTTCATGTGTCCCTGGGGACATGACTTCATAATGGCGGTAACGGTTGGCAGTTGGTAGAGAAGACACAATGGAGTGGACTCTCAGGTTTCCCATGTCAGCCACATGGAGGACATTGTCTGGTGTCACAGTCAGAGCTGTTGGTGTGTTCAGCAGAGCCGAGGCAGCCAGGGTTTCCTTAGTATCAAAACACTTACATTCTGGGTCCTGGCAGTTACACCTGGGAGTACCACCTACGATATGAGATATCAGACCTGAGGTGGACACCACCCTGACACGATTCACATACTGCTTGTCACTCTCTACGATGTACAGCTCTCCCCATGGTCCAAATGCAATATTCTGGGGAGAAATCAAAGTCGCCCTTGTTGCCACACTGAGCCTGAGGCGCTCGTCTGATAGCAGCCCTAGTCCAGTTTTCTGGATGTCTTCAGGCGGGCAGTGTGGTGGGTGGCCAGCGGTCACTACAATCTTCCTCTCAGGGGTCATCCTCAGGACCATGTTATTGTCCAGTATGTGGAGGGTGTCATCCAGGGGGTTAATACTGAGGGCAGTCGGCCAGTGAAGTTTGACCTGGAACAGAATAAAACATACAAAGTGTTAAAGATATAGACATAATACCTTAAAATAAGGTTAAATTTTAATATGATGTGAGTATTTTCAGCAAAATCTATTTGGCAGTGTTAAATATTTCCCTTAATTCAGCAAAAAATTTCATTAGATGTGATATGCATTCAATGATAATTTAAAAACATCAGCATTCATTTTCTTAAAAAGAAGTGTACCTTTTAATCCCCTTAGTTGACCCAACTTGAGTAGTGATACAGAAACAAGATGAAAATTTGCTGTTGCCAAATAAACCATTTTTAACTACCTGTACCTCTTTACCTACAAACCTTCAAGTGGAAATCAAACTCTAATTGACCTTCCCTATAGACAGTCCTACCTGTGCAATGTCTGCTGGTTCCTGACATGGCAGAGGGTTCCAGTCTCCAGGTTGTAACTGAGAACCCAGCACAGTGCTGATGTGGCCTGTCTTGTTGATGGAACGGATGTTGACGCCATCAACAAAGTACACAATGCCATCTTTGTTGATAGCAATACCTTAGAGGTAAGAGAATAATTTTGATCGTGATTATGTCTGATAACAGCTGTAACAATACCTCAGAGAAAAGAGAGCCTTATGGTGATGATAGTAAAAAGTCAATTGTCTCTAGAAAAACTTAACATATTTTTACCCATGAGACCTGACATATGAACCTGTCTTACCTTATAGTTTAACATCTTTTTAAGAGACAGTGAAAAATGTCACTGAGAAAACTCCATAGCAGATGCAAATTTGGTTCACACATCTATTTAAACAATTCTCAATTCAACAATTCTCACCTTTAGGATGTGTGAGTCTTGCCTGTGAGGCTAGCTTCCCATCCCCACACCTGTCTCTGTCCCCAGGGACGCACTGCTCCCCCGTCCCCGCGATGATCTCAAGGTTGCTGTCCAGATCTCTGACGGGACCCATCGTCTTCACTCGCAGGACTTTCTTACTGTGAGGATCCGAGATGTACAGTTTGCCATCCAAGGGGCTCACCGTCATGAAGTATTTGTATGGGACGGTTTGCGAGCTGAAGATTGTGAAATTTAGACTCTGAATTACTGTGAAACATAAATGAAATATTGTGCTGTATTAGACATGACAGCATTACAGACTAGTGTTGGATTCCTATTAATTCAGAAATATCTTTAATGTGAAAGTAATTTTCACCAAAAGTAATTCACAAATATGAAAAAAAATTTGCACATTTTTTCATAAATATATTAAATACAACATTTGAAAAAAGGATAAAAATTCTGATGATGTAAAGAAAGTTTGCAAACAGTTTCCACATCTAATTTTCCAAAGCTGTAAAACTCACCTCAATTCTAGAATCCTATCAATCCTCTGACGATCCGGCGACAACTTCCTGACATAATTGTAGTCTCCCACATAAAGGCTCCCATCTCTCCCGCTGGCCAACGCCACTGGGGCCAGCAGCTTGCTGTCAGCGGCATCACCGTCACAATTAGTACAAGTCACAGAGCGCTGGCGGCCATTACCTAAGATGGTCTTGAGATTCTTGGGTTTCTCCTTCAAGTAGATGTTGGTGCCATCTCCCTTGTGTAAAATACCTGAAAGAAGTTAAAAAGTGAACATTTATGTCTTGATCTTCTTCCTTATCTTAACAAGTATTTGCAGAAACATTTGAACAACCCTTGGTTAACTACTACTAAAACCAATGTTATATTTTTACATTGCTTAAGTAATTGCTTTGTTTATATAAAGCTCTAATGACATTCAAGTTCAAAATAATTGAAAACAGGTTTTTGAAAAGATTTTTTTTATTTTTGCCTCAAGTTAAAGCTTCATTATGGTTCTCTAAAAGTCACACTCACTTGATATGCCAGAAAATATTATTTTAATATCATAATTAAAATCTTTTCATGCTGACATGTAAAGATTTTCCATTTGAAACTTTCAAACATTTTTGTGGTACCTTCTTGGAAATTATAAGTGTGATGGATATCCAGATTCCAGCCTCCTACTTCAGAAGAGGTGAGGTCGTAACCACTCATGGTGGCAGTTCTAGTCTCCCAGAATATGTGTGAACAGCCCTGGTACTGGTACCCTACCTTGACTGAAATCAGGAGAGGATAATTCACATAAAATTACATCATTTAAAACTGCAATATTATAGAAATTAACAAATATTCCAAAATAAAATCCTTACCATTCCATTATTCCATTTCTTTTATTTGATATATTTACACTTGTTCCTGGCTTAAATTTTATGCTCTTTACCCCATCTTCAGCAAGTATGGGGTTTTTAAAAGGTTAAAAATGGAGTTTCTTTTAAAAAATTTCTCTTTCTGATAACTAGGAAAAAACCTTTCTGGCACCTACCTGAGGCAGTAACAATTCCATACACTTTCTGTTTATAAGCATTGGTCCTGTCCCAGGCAAACCTGTACTTCAGACCACGGTCAGCCTCAAACAATTTCTCCAGGACAATCCCTTCCACGGTCACCCTGAGGTGGACGAGGGCCAGTGTCTGGGGGATGAGTTCAGGGGTCAACTGGATCAGGATACTGGACATGTAGCCAGAAGTTTTACTGCTGTGGTAGACCAGGTGGAGATTGGTGCCAGGGATGGCGATGGACTCCTGGAGGACCTGGAGAACAACGGGAATTATCCAATGATTTTATAACTCAAGCTGGAATTTTAACATTGTTAATCCTTTTTGTAACATTGAAATGTAAAACATTTTTCTTTAACTGTGTTTATAAGCTTAGGTGCATGGTGGCAGTGATAGCAAAAACAGCAGCATGATAAAATATATCACTGTAATTTTCCTTGATTAGCAGCATGTAACAGCTGTTGATGTTTCAGGAATTTGGCATATGTGCTTATTTACATTTATATAAGATGTCATAAATATATATTAGTAAAGAGTCAAAGCTTTCTAGCATTTGTGGCAAATTAAATTACCTGTGATTCAGGAATGATGGCACTCTCAGCTGGACAGGATCCAAGCTGTGTGTGTTGCCATGTGGACAGTACCAGTGGTTTGATAGTATTGGTGTCGTACTCTACAGCACAAGGGTGAGGGGTCTCAACCTCATTATCCCCCTCTAACACCAAATTGATTGACTCCATGGTAACCAGCTGATTCCATGGCACCATGACCGTAGCCATCTTGGTTTTGAATGGTTGACGCTGGAATTGGAGTGTTACAGAACCTCCACCATTCACCAAGATGTCAAATCTGAAAGTGGTGAAAAACTTAATAGGTTAACAACATATCATAAACACACTGATATGTGTATTTTTTGTACACCATTATAAAATGTACAGCCCTCCAGCAAAATTTATACATATTGTCACCAACATATACAACAGTATACAATTTGAGTGATTTTTTAGTATACAATTTGAGTGATTTTTGAAAGTACATGACATGTAAGAAATTCTTAAATCATTATAAAGTTCATGGCATACTGCACTAAAATTGAATCCATTTCTAGAAATACTCTTTAAGTTATTCTACTCACAGCCCCAGCTCCCTGGTCAGTGTGAAGCCATAGAGAGGCTGTGTGACTACGCTGACCCTCACCCCTATCAGAGGGGTGCCGTCCTTGGCATACACTCTCCCTCTGATCACAGACACTTGACTGAAACCAAAATCACTTAGCCTAAATATTGTATCTATATGAGGAAAACAGGTGGCCCTGTCTATATATTTTCTTAGTGTTTTCATAATCTGCTAGGCAGGAAAGTGCTGTTTATCATAAAATTATTTAAATATATTACTACAATTTTTAAAAATTTTATTTAAACACTTGCTCCTGTTAATTTCAACATAATTAGGCAGGTATCTGATACATGTTGATATATAAATTGAGATCCATCCTATTGTTTTCAGTTCATCCTACCTCTCATTAAAGGACCCTGTGTGTGCAAACTTCTGCACACTCTGTTCCTCCACCAAGAACCTCATCTTGTCAAAGAAGGAGGCGGTGCTGCTGGGGGGCTGTTTCCGTAGCAATATCTCCAGGGGGTCTGGTGACATCACACAGTGGGGGCTGTCCTTACACTCCACAGTAAGACAACAGTCAGGGTCCTGGCAGTCCAATAGACCATCTGGAATAGGACAGCCAGGTGATTATCAGAGACACACATTATAACAATGTATCCAACTTCCTTGCCAATTCTAACACTATCTTTTTAGAGATTTTAAGTATCTATAATCAATTCAGCATTTTGGTTTTATGCATAAAGGTAACTGTAAAGATTTTTTTATATCATACTTAAGACTTAAGTAGCCAGGACTGGATTCAACAAATGCTAACTTTATAAACAAAGCTCATGACATAATTATCTCTAGCAATTCACAAATCTGCAAGGGTGTATCTACAGAAAATAGCGACTATGCAGCAATCACTGAAACTGCTCCCTGTCTGAAAACAAAGGACACTAACTTTGTTGCTATTATATTATCTCTTATCTAAGACACCTCTGTAAGTGGTGTCCATTCTGCCATACCCCACATACACTACTATATATGTGAGTGTGACATACCTTCATCATTATCCAGATTGTCTCCACACTGTACCTCTCTGGACAGACTACAATCCTCTCCCTTCCAGCCATCTGCACAGTTACACTGCCAACTACCTGAGAACACCTGACACCTGCCATGATTACTGCAGGATCTGGGACAGCCATCTGGAAGACAGACATTTGTAGAACTAACTACAAGACTTTTATCATGGCTTGAGACTTAGCAAGGTTGTATCTTAGGTATATTTACACACAGGAGTGGATCTTAAAGCAAAGCAAGGTATTTTTTAATCTACTTACCTGTGACTTTGTTAAACTTACAGATATGAGATTAACCTTACGAGGGCTTAGGGGAGTCTTCATTCTGTAATTGCTTTTTTAAAATTCAAATACGAAACATGGTCCACAAAACAGAACACTTGATATTTAGATTCAAACACAGTCACAATGTGAAATGTGACAAGTACGCACCAAGAGAGCAATATTTCCCATTCCAGCCAGGGTTGCACATACAGGTGCCATTGTCACAGAAACCATGTACGAGGCAACGTGGATCGCNTAATGTTGTAAGCGACTTGAATAATACACGTGTGTTCCAGCATGGCGGCTTACAGAGTTAGCACGTTTATGTTACAGCATGTAACAGCTGTTGATGTTTCAGGAATTTGGCATATGTGCTTATTTACATTTATATAAGATGTCACAAATATATATTAGTAAAGAGTCAATGCTTTCTATCATTTGCAGTAAATTATTTTACCTGTGATTCAGGAATGATGGCACTCTCCGCTGGACAAGATCCAAGCTGTGTGTGTTGCCATGTGGACAGCACCAGTGGTTTGATAGTATTGGTGTTGTACTCTACAGCACAAGGGTGAGGGGTCTCAACCTCATTATCACCCTCTAACACCAAATTGATTGACTCCATGGTAACCAGCTGATTCCATGGCACCATGACCGTAGCCATCTTGGTTTTGAATGGTTGACGCTGGAATTGGAGTGTTACAGAACCTCCACCATTCACCAAGATGTCAAATCTGAAAGTGGTGAAAAACTTAATAGGTTAACAACATATCATAAACACACTGATATGTGTATTTTTTGTATACCATTATAAAATGTACAGCCTTGTAGCAAAATTTATACATATTGTCACCAACAGTATACAATTTGAGTGATTTTTTAGTATACAATTTGAGTGATTTTTGAAAGTACATGACATGTAAGAAATTCTTAAATCATTATAAAGTTCATGGCATACTGCACTAAAATTGAATCCATTTCTAGAAATACTCTTTAAGTTATTCTACTCACAGCCCCAGCTCCCTGGTCAGTGTGAAGCCATAGAGAGGCTGTGTGACTACGCTGACCCTCACCCCTATCAGAGGGGTGCCGTCCTTGGCATACACTCTCCCTCTGATCACAGACACTTGACTGAAACCAAAATCACGTAGCCTAAATATTGTATCTATATGAGGAAAACAGGTGCCCTTGTCTATATATTTTCTTAGTGTTTTCATAATCTGCTAGGCAGGAAAGTGCTGTTTATCATAAAATTATTTAAATATATTACTAGAATTTTAAAAATTTTTATTTAAACACTTGCTCCTGTTAATTTCAACATAATTAGGCAGGTATCCGATACATTTTGATATATAAATTGAGATCCATCCTATTGTTTTCAGTTCATCCTACCTCTCATTAATATTGCTCATGTTAATGTTTACATAATACACTTTGATATATAAATGGTGTGATTCATGCTATTCTGTATTGTCCACCATACCTCTCATTAAAGGACCCTGTGTGTGCAAACTTCTGCACACTCTGTTCCTCCACCAAGAACCTCATCTTGTCAAAGAAGGAAGCAGTGCTGCTGGGGGGCTGTTTCCGTAGCAATATCTCCAGGGGGTCTGGTGACATCACACAGTGGGGGCTGTCCTTACACTCCACAGTAAGACAGCAGTCAGGGTCCTGGCAGTCCAATAGACCATCTGGAATAGGACAGCCAGGTGATTATCAAAGAGACACACATCATAGCAATTTACCCAACTTCCTTGTCAATTGTAACACTATCCTTTTAGAGATTTTAAGTATCTTTAATCAATCCAGCATTTTGGTTTTATGCACAAAGGTAACTGTAAAGATTTTTTATCATACTTAAGACTTAAGTAGCCAGGACTGGATTCAACAAATGCTAGCTTTATAAACAAAGCTCATGACATAATTATCTCTAACAATTCACAAATCAGCAAGGGTGTATCTATAGAAAATAGCGACTATGCAGCAATCACTGAAACTGCTCCCTGTCTGAAAACATAGAACACTAACTTTGTTGCTATTAAATTATCTCTTATCTAAGACACCTCTGTAAGTGGTGTCCATTCTGCCATACCCCACATACACTACTATATCAGTGAGTGTGACATACCTTCATCATTATCCAGATTGTCTCCACACTGTACCTCTCTGGACAGACTACAGTCCTCTCCCTTCCAGCCATCTGCACAGTTACACTGCCAACTACCTGAGAACACCTGACACCTGCCATGATTACTGCAGGATCTGGGGCAGCCATCTGGAAGACAGACATCTGTAGAACTGACTACAAGACTTTTAGCATGGCTTGAGACTTAGCAAGGTTTATCTTAGGTATATTTACACACAGGAGTGGATCTTAAAGCAAAGCAAGGTATTTTTTTAATCTACTTACCTGTGACTTTGTTAAACTTACAGATATGAGATTAACCTTACGAGGGCTTAGGGGAGTCTTCATTCTGTAATTGCTTTTTTAAAATTCAAATACGAAACATGGTCCACAAAACAGAACACTTGATATTTAGATTCAAACACAGTCACAATGTGAAATGTGACAAGTACGCACCAAGAGAGCAATATTTCCCATTCCAGCCAGGGTTGCACATACAGGTGCCATTGTCACAGAAACCATGTACGAGGCAGCGTGGATCACATGACACCTGGTTGCACACGGCGCCTGCCCAGCCTTCGTCACATACACATCTCTGCCCGCTACAATGACCATGTACGCACTGCAGACTGCAGCGCTCTGGAAGATAAACATCAACATCTAAACTTAGTTCCAGTCTTTTTCTTACAACTTGTTACTGAATAAAAATGAGGCTAAAAAATTATACAGTATCTGTCAATAAATAAAACTGCAAAAACTCATATTGAAAAGATTAAAGGATTAAAGTTGCAACTTTTTCATGTGTATACTGATTTATTACATTTAGCAGAAGGATACCTAAACATAAATAAACGTCAACTTAAAATAGACCCCCTTTTAAGCAATTTAATATGTTCAAAGCTTGCTAATTATAAATTATTTTTACATATGTCATCATAAATAAATCAAAATATCCAATAACTTTGTCAAAAACCTACCAATTTCACAGTATTCCCCAGCCCAGCCTTCCTCACACACACATGCATCCAGATGCATGTCGTACACTCCATGCTGCGTGCAGTTCTTGCGACACATATTGGGGATATTTTGTACTCTAGGCAGACTACAGTCTGAGCCTGTGTGGTCCTCGTTACAGTAACACTGCCCCTGGACGCACACGCCATTCCCAGAACAATTGGAAGGAATACAGTCAACTGAGGAAAAAATAAAAGAAATTAAAATATGTGTAATATAGTATTTTTAGACTGAAGGTCTTATTGGAATTTTAAGATATTCTTGAAGAAGTACGGAGAACTATAACTTTTTGTTTTCTTACGTAACTCTTTATCTTATACCCTCAGATATAAATTCCTTCTATTTAGCTAAGACATAAAAGAGGGGGCATAAAAGATAGACGCCAGCTGATGTATGCCTGGTGTGTATTGTGATGAAGTGTGAAAATTGTGTTTTGTCTCAACTAACACAACACCGTGCTGATGTGACAGCAGTGAAGATTTCAGCTATCTCAACCACTGCAACACAGCTTGTCATTTACTCTCTGGGAAATCATACAAAAACCAATCAGTAAGCTCTGTCTAGCATCATTTCACTAAGTAACTCTACTCTTTAACATGGCTGCATCTGTCTGATAATCCTATTGTCTTCACCTGCTTGGGCTGCAAGCATTATGTCTATGGAGAAGTTTGAGATAAGTATAATAAATCATCAGCATATCTCCCCTACCTTCCCTGCAGTCCTTCCCCTTGAACCCTGGTGAGCAGATGCACTCTCCACGGATACATTCCCCATTCCCGCTGCAGTTTGGCACCTCACACCGGTCCACAGCCACAGAGCACTCCTTGCCCTTCCAGTTACTGTAACACTCACATTCTCCTCGAACATAGATCCCACGGCCATTACATAACACTGGACACACAGCTACAGGGAGAAATAGATACATTTAAGGTCTATTTTTATGTGGAACTAGTCAAGTACACCCTGAGAGGCAGAGGTGTCTGGCATCTTTCTTTTTCTGCTATCAGGATACATTTTCTGTTTCTGTGAGTTTTCAGGGACCTCGATAACTCAGGGTGTTACAATAGGATATGCAAACAAATAATTTCCATGAGATAAACTCAATTGAAATGGAGCGTGTGAAAGTGAACAATTCCTTTACACATTTTGTTTACATGTTTTACTTCAGTAAACTACAAAATAGAGCAGCTGACTTACTCTGTTAAATGGAAATAATATATTTACAGAGTAGCACTTTTAAATGATTTATTGGATTTAATTAAATAATTCATTAAAACATTAATATATTTAAGTAAAATATAATAAGCAAATTTACTTCATGAGCAATTGTCTGTCTCACTGCTGAATGGGAATTATTTTATTTTTCATGAAAACATCAATATATGAAAACACCATTAAAAGCAGCCTTACTCTGTGAGCAGTCCCATCCTTCATATCCAGGGAAGCATGTACACTGGCCATTTGTACACTCTCCTCTGCCTAGACAGTCCTTGGGGCAGGTGCTGTCCACTTTGTCTGCAATAACCACACAGTGTCACATGGTTATTTCCATATTCATAGTTTATTATAAAGAACATGTTTCAGAAAACTACTCTTTCTCTTACGACAAAATTTTAACCAGTTTTGACCCAGACTAAGTAAGTAGTAGTCCATTTGTTTGAAATTGTGCACCCTTTTAACCTTTTATAACAAGAAAGGAATGAGTTCTATTGAAGGCCAAATTTAGAAAGAATTTTTGTGGACTACTACAGATTTATTCTGAAAGAATTTTTTTTTAAAGCTAAGATCAAATTTGATCATTAGTTCTTCTGTAAAACAAGTCCCGACCTTTGGCTAGAGGATAAAAAGTGAAACAGGAACCTCTGGGAAATTTCTGGACACAGAAACTTAGTATGCCAAATGCACTTAAAAGTAGAAGATACACTATGAATCACGGTGCATGTGTGATAAATAAGTAAATGTCATATACAAATACACCATGGTGACTTATATTTCAGCAGACGTTGATAACAAAAGATCCTGGCATGATGTATCTGGATTTCATGTAGGACATGCTTGTTTGCATGATACTCCATGTGTGAATCTTTTGTTCTGAACATCAGTTGTGGTAGAAGACAAGATACTGACAATGTTGCGGACATAGATGGTGTATCGTTTCTGGTACACCAAGCTTTTTATAATCTCAGCTATTGATTACCACAGTTGTTATGTATAGAACAAAACACTGGCAAAACTTGATGTAATCCAATCGACGTGTTTTTTATATACAGTTCTTTGAATTCACAGTAGAGAGAGAGAGAGAGAGAGAGAGACTCACCATGTTTTGAGCTAACAACAGAGACAGTGTTTGGGATCTCCACATCATTATAAACCATCATGTACCATAGCCCTGGCTCCAAGTACTCGATGAAGGCAGTGTCTGTCACTTGGTCTTCTGAAGAATCCTGGAATCACAAAAATACCCATTATTATTGACAGTTTGAAATGTAATACTTGCTATTAAATTTGATCCCTTTAAAATATCCCCTTTATAAAACAGGTTTCAGGGACAAAGATATTTGCTTATATTCTGTTTTTTACATGTTTTTTTTTTTACCTTGTTAAATTTTGAATTTCATTGAGACATAACAAGACAGACTCTATGCAGACATTTAATTCCTTAGTTTTTTCCCTTTAATTCTGCTTGGACAATGACAAGGGGTTCTCTAACTTGGATTTTTTGGCCATACAACACACATATGCATGCTTCTTGCCAATATGTTTATTTTACACTCTACGACTAAAGCCTTTTTTAAAGAAAACAGACTTAATATTTTGCAGACTCTTAAACTGTAACTACAGTTCCCCATAAGCATGATCTAATCACACTGAGGAAGAAAACAAGCTGGTTATATCTCTTTCGTGTTTGAAATGAGTATAGAACTTGACATTTTGTATTTAGTATGCAGATGTATTGTACAAGCAGTTCCACTTTGGGAAACAGATACAAGCGGTTCCAATGCCCTGTATGGTCTCTGTGCTGGTTTTTAATGTTGGGTTTTAATTTGCCAAGTCATTGACACTGGATGCTTTGTCAACAAGATGAATAATTCATATGCTGTTGTTCTTGATGTTTGGCTGGTCATCAATAACAAACGGATCACTACTTGTCCACCTGCTCCCACTACCAAATATCCAAAAGTCAATGACCAGGAAACAGCATTCCATCTTTGAATACAAGCTCCATTTTTTGTAAAATAATAAATTATTACATAGGAGAATGACTTTTACTTTTGGACAGAAGAAAAAAGTGATCAGTGCACCAAGATTAAAAACTCTAAGAAACCACTAGCTTTTTTTCTGACTTAATAATGACAGCAATGATAACATGCCTGTAGTCATGTCTCACATAACTGCCCTGAAATCATTTCTGAAACCAATGTGCCAGATCCTTTCCCTGTGGATATCACCCTTTATGTTATGCAATAATGATGTCTAAAGCATCCAAGCATCACTTCCTCAAAGCAAACAGAATACTAATCTGGGACTAATGGCTGCCACAGGGGGAATTGCATTCTGCCTTATGTGCTGAAAATGTTTTAGCAAAGGCCACGGTTTATTACCACATCGAGAATTGACAAGGTTAACATTTCCACAGGACATTGTCATGAATATACTATTACTTGAAAATGGAATGATGGTGTTTTTGGCTAAAAAATGTGTGCAAAATGCACAAAAACATATCTTCAAATGTACCAGCTGCCAAAATAAACATCTCCTTATTGGTTTATGTCAGACTCATGACAGAAAGTAACAAGTTTAGCTTTGTCCATTGCTCAACTGAAAGCATTCTAAATGAAAATAGCATAACCAGCAACACATTACAAAATCAGTCCTTTACTTTTGGGATTTTTCTACTTCTTTGTAGGTCAAACCCAGTTAGGCCAACAGAAAATGCCACATTTATTTCAAACATGGTAAATAAGAGCTGCAAAGTTGCCCTAGTTGTCTGATATTGCAGGGATAATGTGATTTGGCTTTTTTTTTTTACATCTGCAAAACCAAAATAAATCTATCTTTGCATTCACTGTTTCAACTTAAAAAAATTATTTGATTTGGCCTGATAAATCAACTAGATCAATACAAAAAATTTTCTTGAACACTTGAAATTGAGACCAATTACAGACACTTCTATTGGCCATTCTGATAAAATTTGATTTTTTTCCACACAAAACAGTAAAACCAATCTCCAGAACTCTGGATTGATTTAATTGGCTTCCATTCTCAGAGAGCTCACCCCATCACCCCATATGATTGGTCAATTCTCAAGAGAGTCTTTGGCGAAGCTAATCTGTATGTGCTAGAAGATTGTGTAATTCTCTGGAGAATACAACAACAATGACAAAGTTCCAAACAGTCTTAGCAGGGCAGGAAAAAAAACACCACATCTATGAACAGCTTTATTGAGTCATGGTATCAATGTCCAAAACATCTTTTTCTTTAAAAAAATTAATGAAAATAAAAATTATAAAAATAATAAATAATAAAAAAGACAATTTTCAGATTATTATCAGGAACATTGTTCATCCGTGATTGTAAACATCACGACACTTTCCACAATGAACATGCAATACAGCCATAGAACCTTCAAGAGAAGACATTCAATTCTCCCTAACAGATATGTGAACCGCACGAGAAAATACAGTTTTTGTTATCGCATGCAAATTTAATTATGGTTTTTCATTTGTTGCTGATTAAATGCCTTGCAAAAAAGTCAGAATAACAGGAAAAGGTCTCAATATGAATGTGGGTTAACACTGAAGATAGGTCGGCCCTTTTTGGTACCAACCATCTGCGCAATGCTTTTGATTTAGCTTACCTTACTGCATAATAGCCAAATTTTCAGTCTCAAATGAACTGCAACTTTATCAATTTTAGCTAAAAAAGACAGTGTGTTACCAAGGTACAGCACTGGTAGCAGCTTTATTAACCCTGAGGCAGTGGAAAGGTCCTACTACCATTTGTATTTGGGACAGGTACAGACTTACTCAAAGATACCCGCTATACCATGCCCAGAGCTTGACAACTAAAATATTTATTATTCTACTGATGAATTCTCCCTAATGGTCTATTCATGATAAGATTTATCATGTATTGACTGATATGTTGTAAAATCCTTAGAGTTATTAACGCGGAATATGGTAAATGTGGTGTTATTAACTGATATATAGGAAGATCACTTTGTGGCCTCTAGAAAAAGCCTTATCATCATCATCTCTTATTTTCCTGGGGAAACTGGCTGATGTAGGAGTCCCCCAGGTGTCAGACCTTGAGGTGAATACTGATGAGAGCCTAGAGATCATTACATGTTACAACAGGTTCTCTGAGACATTGAACTTATTGTAATAAGTGTTAACAACATTTTGATTAATGTTTATCGATGGAAAAAAGCTGGACACAAGGTTAAGAGGTATAACACATTCAACACTTCAGTGAGAAGTTCTAGTTCTTTAGAACTAACAGTAGAATTTTATATTATGGTGAGTCAAAACATCAAAATTTTTATAGACCTTTTTACTCTATTTTAGGCAATAGGCAGCTATTTTGACAATTTCATAAGTTATTATCCATCTGTCTGTATTTATATTATGAATGTAAAACTTTCTGTGTGTTATTTTGATAAAATAATTATAATCATAATAATGAAGACAACTCACCTTGGCAGAGCTCTCATCTCTCCTCCTCCTCCTCTGCTGTGATATCTTCCTTCCATCCAACATGTGGAAGAAGTCATACTGTACATAGGTGGGCTTTGAATTGAGCCGTCCATACACCCCAATAACGGCATCATCTGGCAACGTGAAGTTAAACTTGACAAATTTTGGATCAATGATGTCCAGCTGCTGGATCCAGGAATCTTTAGGAAGCACTCTTTCCTCACTGGGAGAGTCGAGAGTTACCCTGGGGATTGGCTTTGGTGTTGTGGTGGTGGGAATTGTAGAAGTTGGTAGTGTTGTGACTGAAACAAGACAGATCATAGCTACATCAATATATAAGATATACACATTTAAACAAACATCAGTGATTCTCAATTATTTTTACTGAAATGATACATATATAAATAAAACATAACGCAACAGAAGTCCAAAAGCAGCCAGAAAAGCGCCATTGGCAAACGTTCGTTATAATGATGGTAAATAGAATACTTTCAGTGGTAGGTTAGATTTCACCATTATACAAGGCAGCAAAGCTGTCAAATGTACAGACAAAAAGCAGGAAATAACTATGCACAAAATAGGCTACTGCAAATTCAGATGCAAAAGTACATAATGTTAAACTGCAAATTCAACATCAATTTTTAATTATAAAATATAAGTATCATGGATATTCAGAAAATGTGACTAGCAAAGGTCTTCAGGCCCATGGAACTTCAAAGTCACATCTTGAAAATGCCAAATTGTAAACAAGACAGCACTGTTCTGAAATGGGTTTACTTCCATTTTTAACACTTTTTTAACATAAAACAAAATGAACAGTTTACTGCCATTTTTATATGATCAACTAAGAAAATTGATGAGATGGGAAAAATATCAATAGAATAGTGTTAAATGTCCAATTTCCTCCATTCTGAGATTCTGAACATAGTAGATGATTGAATCTGACAAACTGCAATGATATGAGTTTGTTTCCATTTTTGAAACTTTATTACACAATACACGATAACAAGTTTACCATCATTTTTACATAATCAACTAATAATGTTGTAAAGATGCAGGAAATGTCAACCAAACACTTTAATGTATCTTATTAGTAAAATAATAAGACTGTTAACATGCATAAGAATTGAATCTGAGGAAATGTGAAAAAACAGCATAACTTCTAAAATAATGGCCCGATTATGCTGATTTTCGAACTCGACCTGCGTTTTAGTAAGATTGACCACTCCTGTGAGTTTAATGACAATTAGCCTATCGGTTTTTCTTATATTGTGNTGTTTCTTCGATTCGCTGCCTTCCCATCGATTCAGTTTCAAGTTTAAACGACCCTATCATAACTTCAGCATCTATTTTCGTCAATTCAATATTGTCAAACATTTCTCGTCAACGGTGTATTTAAACCAATGCTGTCACTATTTTCGTCGATGGTGTAACTATTCTCGTCGATCGTCAAACTATTTTGGTCGATCGTCTAAGGCTTCGTTCACATGCAATGTCTATTTTCTAATTTCTATTTTCTATTTGCGCTATCTTATGATCATGGTCTGTGCCCTGAATATCCCGCCGCGTAATTACTAGGAGCGCGAGCCAGTTACTTATAGTAACTTATAGTAACTGGCTCGCGCTGCCAGTAGTTACTTATAGTAACTTATAGTAACTGGCTCGCGCTGCCAGTAATTACGCCGCGGGATATTCAGTGCACAGACCGTGATCATAAGACATACCGAAAATAGAAAATAGAAAATAGAAAATAGACATTGCATGTGAACGAAGCCTAAGAGGTATAACACATTCAACAGACTTCAGTAAGAAGTTCTTTAGAAATGACAACAGAATTTTATATTTGGTGAGTCAAAACATCAAAAATTTTTTATAGACAATTTCATAACTTATTACCCATCTGTCTGTATTTATGTTACGGACATAAAAACTTCAACTTTCTGGATGTAATTTGATTTAATAATTATCATTATCATAATGAAGACAACTCACCTTGGTGGAGCTCTCATCTCTCCTCCTCCTCCTCTGCTGTGATATCTTCCTTCCATCCAACATGTGGAAGAAGTCATACTGTACATAGGTGGGCTTTGAATTGAGCCGTCCATACACCCCAATAACGGCATCATCTGGCAACGTGAAGTTAAACTTGACAAATTTTGGATCAATGATGTCCAGCTGCTGGATCCAGGAATCTTTAGGAAGCACTCTTTCCTCACTGGGAGAGTCGAGAGTTACCCTGGGGATTGGCTTTGGTGTTGTGGTGGTGGGAATTGTAGAAGTTGGTAGTGTTGTGACTGAAACAAGACAGATCATAGCTACATCAATATATAAGATATACACATTTAAACAAACATCAGTGATTCTCAATTATTTTTACTGAAATGATACATATATAAATAAAACATGACGCAACAGAAGTCCAAAAGCAGCCAGAAAAGCGTCATTGGCAAACGTTCGTTATAATGATGGTAAATAGAATACTTTCAGTGGTAGGTTAGATTTCACCATTATAAAATGACATTTGAAGGACGTCTATACTAGGGTTTTATGTGTTAACAAACTATTACTTCCTTGGCTTTCTCTGTACAACAAGGCAGAAGGGATTGCCCTTACTTTCCCTAGCCATTAACTCTGAAAATGGCACAATTACATCTGCCATCTTGGCTAAAATTGACAGGCAGCAAAGATTAATAGCAAACAATAACTGCTGTTAGAACTGTTATTACACACTGTAAAAGGAAGATGGCATATCCCTGTCTCTTGTTAAATTTCCCCATCAAGCCTTTCAAACAGTTCTGCCATAAATAGACCAGATCTCCACAAGACATGACTTTGACTTTGTGGCATGAAAAAAATCACTTCAAAATAGAAGAAAATTTGAAGAAATAATTTCCCTTAAATAACCCTTTCGTTAGGTCCAACAACCATAGGCAATTGACCAGTCATTTTCTTTAAGACCATAATAAGTCATGGCCAGTGTCTCCTTTTCAGAAACATTGTTTCTCTCATCTGCCATGTTTGTAATGTCTGATCTCGTCAAAAAAATTATATACATTTTTTGGAATTTTTTTCAGAAGGCAATTTCAACTAGGATTACCCTACATTGTATTGGTTCTTTTTGGAAAGTATGTTTTATTTATTCAAATTGTAGATCGAAAAAAAAACTTTTTTTCAAAAACCTGAATTTGAGTAATTGCAATTATTTATCCAAACATTTTCACACAATTTAACAGTTTTATTATCTCCAGTTTCACAAAACTTTCATTTTTTCCCAAACAATAATACCACACAAACCACAAAAATAAAGAGCAGAAGTTCAACAATTCATCTATCAAGTTGCCAACATGACAGAAATCAAAATCCATAGATCTGTTGTCTTGTGTGTTATTAACAATGAAATAACACCTCTTTACAATGGGAGTGTGTTCTAAGTAATATGTAGAAAATGCCTGCATGCATACAGTTGGAAACTCTGCATCATATCATGTCTACATTGTATCAAATACTGAATATGTTCACATTACAGCCTCCACATCNCATAAAAATGACATTTGAAGGACGTCTATACTAGGGTTTTATGTGTTAACAAACTATCACTTCCTAGGCTTTCTCTGTACAACAAGGCAGAAGGGATTGCCCTTACTTTCCCTAGCCATTAACTCTGAAAATGGCACAATTACATCTGCCATCTTGGCTAAAATTGACAGGCAGCAAAGATTAATAGCAAACAAAAACTGCTGTTAGAACTGTTATTACATGCTGTAAAAGGAAGATGGCATATCCCTGTCTCTTGTTAAATTTCCCCATCAAGCCTTTCAAACAGTTCTGCCATAAATAGACCAGATCTCCACAAGACATGACTTTGACTTTGTGGCATGAAAAAAATCACTTCAAAATAGAAGAAAATTTGAAGAAATAATTTCCCTTAAATAACCCTTTCTTTAGGTCCAACAACCACAGGCAATTGACCAGTCATTTTCTTTAAGACCATAATAAGTCATGGCCAGTGTCTCCTTTTCAGAAACATTGTTTCTCTCATCTGCCATGTTTGTAATGTGTCTGATCTTGTCAAAAAAATTATATACATTTTTTGGAATTTTTTTCAGAAGGCAATTTCAACTAGGATTACCCTACATTGTATTGGTTCTTTTTGGAAAGTATGTTTTATTTATTCAAATTCTAGATCGAAAAAAAAACTTTTTTTCAAAAACCTGAATTTGAGTAATTGCAATTATTTATCCAAACATTTTCACACAATTTAACAGTTTTATTATCTCCAGTTTCACAAAACTTTCATTTTTTCCCAAACAATAATACCACACAAACCACAAAAATAAAGAGCAGAAGTTCAACAATTCATCTATCAAGTTGCCAACATGACAGAAATCAAAATCCATAGATCTGTTGTCTTGTGTGTTATTAACAATGAAATAACACCTCTTTACAATGGGAGTGTGTTCTAAGTAATATGTAGAAAATGCCTGCATGCATACAGTTGGAAACTCTGCATCATATCATGTCTACACTGTATCAAATACTGAACATGTTCACATTACAGCCTCCACATCCTGTTGCTCTCTTCTGTACAACAGGGTTGCCTTGAAACATCACAGACCTTATCTTTGTATCTAACTGTGATCAATAAAGACAACTGTATGTATATTTACAAAGTACTTCAGACATCTTATGAACAGTTAAATGTATCATTACTAATGACAATATCCTTCTTTCACTTTTGCCATACATCAAGTTTATGTCATAAAGCAAAGAAATTGTTGCTTCATTGATTCTTACAAGGATTCCCATGTTCTTTGTTAAAAAGAATAACAGAGTAAAGATGAACTGTTTCTGAAACCTGTTAAGTTGATTCTAATTAGTATTATGTCACATTTGAAATAAATGACAGTTTGGAGATAAACAACTTTTCTGAAAAAGACTTCCTACTAAAATGTACTGTTATGGCAGCAATAGCATGGACTGACACACATAGAAGTTATTGTTTTAATTGCTGGTTACATGAAAATATATAAATCTTTTAACTGCATTAATATATATGAGTCAAATATAGAAAGAAAACCATACTGGACATTCTCATATATAAAAGAGATATATGAAAGATTTTTCAAAACTATCTATTTTAATCTAATTATTTGTTACTATGTTAACAACAAATACTTCTGTTTATGATGTAATTATTGTGTTTCATGCAAGCTTAAAGATAAAAAAACTGTTAATTACCACAGCAAGAGTGATGGAAACTTTTTTACTTAGTCAAATCATAATTGTGTACAAAACAAGGCATTTAGTGATGTGCATTCTAGGCTTGTGCAACTGTGTCAAGTGATATCCAGAAACCTTCAGTATGATGAAAATTATGCAAGAAAATTGGTTGTATGCTCGTTTCTATTCCTAAGTGAAATTCTCACAAAAAAAGTAATTAATAAGAAAAACCATGTGCAACACATCAATTTAAAATAGCCATTCGGTTGGATTTCTACAAATAAAAACTGCACAAAAATTAGTAATATCCAAATAAAAGTAAAATATATAAATAAAGCTAAAACATAAATAAAAAAGCTGATAAATATTTGTTAATGCACCCACTAAACTTACCCTCCTCCGTACTTATTATATCATACTCTGTTGTCGTCTGCTTTTGGTGGGTGAACGTTACTAGAACGGTGGGGGCTAAGTGAGACAACCATAGACACATATATCTTAACGACCAGTAAGCCCTTGTTGTTACAGAAAGAGGCAGTCAATAAGGGTATGCATACTCACATGCTGTTAGAAAACTTACATGCCCAATATGTGTTATGAGGAAATTAATTTTCCACCATGCATTTAATAACAAATTAAATAAGACCCAACCACATAAAAAAGAATGGTTACAAAAAAGAATGGTTAAACACCATTCAGTATAAGTTAATTCTGGGTTGTATTTGAATAAGGGATCTCACATCATAATGGACAATGGCAATATAAGAACACATTCACATTCTTAATTAATACTGATCAAATATAAAGTCATTTGCAAGGTCATGGTCATTGGACAATGTCAAGGCTTCAAAAACCCCATCAAGTGTGAAGTCAACTCACCTGATGTGTCTAGTGCTGTTCCATTGGGTAGAGCATTCAGCCGGGGGCTGCCCCGATCCCCCAACTGCCAGTCAAGATTGAGCACAGTGATTGCTGAAGGAAAGACAGAACAAGATAAATATTATTTTGAGGATCAATTTTTAATATTTTTTTCTTTTTTTTTCATTATTATTTAGTTAAGCAATGTGCACCAATAAACAGTTCAGTTATAACAAACCACTATATATTTGCATAAAAGTAATATTTCTATTTTTTATTGCCAATGCCTCATACTGCTACATGTATTTGTGATTTAACAAGGCCAGTGACTAATTCTCTTTAAGATCCCTTTCTGCAGGTTAAAATTGTGTAAAGTAACTGGATTTTATCTGTCAAATTTTCACAACAATTTATCACTCCATACTTCACTCCTCCACTTCATAAAAGATTTCAAAAACATGGCACATGCTTTCATTTTTTATTCACAAGAATTTATAGAGCATTTTAACAACCAAACATAAGGAGCTTTTTTTTTTACAAATTTAGTGCGGTATTAAATACTCATTTCACAAATGTATTCATGTTCTATGGCAAATATTTACACACAGACACACCCTCAAATGGGTAATCCAGCTGCCACCCCAGGTAAGATTCTAATTGCACAGGTATACATTTTCAACAAGCAATCAATTAAACACAGGGCCCTTCATGTGGATATCTAATGACTAGAGCCTCAGGTGTAATCACTAATGAACTCTGCTCAGATTAATTTTTTGTCGCAAAATACCAGAGGTATCTTGAAATCTGTTAATCCTCTAGGTATGTACAGGTAAAAATGTCACCAGGTTGAGGGTGAATGGGGCCAAGTTATGACAAATGTCTGAACTTATTAACTCACATACTTATGGAACTTGAAAAACTAAGTATGTAAAGTGCTGATGATCACTATTGTAAGGCACACAATTGATATGACTGTTTTTACAGGTCATTTAAACAAGACAGGTGTTTGTGTTCCACTGTTTCCTCCAATTCATGTAAATCTGAAATAATTACAGGTTTTTATAAACCTGAAACACAGGGGGATGTTGCTAGCCCAAGGCAAATAGACCTTCTACACTGGAGTAGGCGCAATTATTTTGTAAATTTTCTCAATTAATAAGTTTCTTTATCAAAGACCTGGGGGATGCACAAAAAGCACACCAATATTGATAGTGATGATTTATCAGATTGAAGTCTATTAAAGCAACAAAAGTTTTGTGGAAGACATCATCTTGATTCTACTCACCAACTAGATAGGCCACACAGGCTGCCAGCACCAAGGAGAGCAAAATAAATAAAATGGCGACGCATTTCCAGGTGCACTTCTGTTTGAGGTGCTTCTTCATCCTGTGGCCCGCATTGCTTATCTTGTTTGTAGGACGGAAGAAGGTAGGGACAGGTGTATACGGGATGGGGACGCCAGGTGTGTTACTGCTACTGGAGTATACAGAGTTGTACCTGAAATATGATAAAAATATATGAAATCATTAAGTTTATAAAAGTTTATAAAGGTTTTCAGATATGAAGTGGTGACAATAAAAACAAAATTATAATATTTAATCTGTGCCTGGACTTATCATCACAATGACAGTTATAGTAATAGTCACTATCACCTGACAAATGTTTTAAAATTCATAACTCCATGAACAGACTTTAAAATTTTTTGTTTAAATAAAGCTATATACAATGTAATACATAATTTTTCTTTTTTAAGTGGCATAAAACAATAATGAAGACTATAACTGTCAGATATTAGCTTCACAGGTGTTGCTAAAATTTGTTGAAGAAATAAATAAATTCTGTACCAAATGGTTACTAAATAGAATACATCATTACTATATAACACCTGGAATATAACATAACACTGTTTAATAGCTAAATATCACATAAGCAAGGATTCTAGAGGCAGGATGCTTATACTGTGTGATAATTGAACAATCACTTCTTCAAGGGAAATAGGTCATTATTACATCTGGCCAAGTTAGCATGTTCCACTGAGTATGACACAGTTTTTCTTTGTTTCACAATGAACACCCTAAGAAAAACATATTCTGCCAAACTGCCACACAGATCCATATATATGACAATCAAATTCATCAGAGCTTACTTCCTCAAACTTTCTCAATACCTTACTTACACTAATTCTGTAACCAAGAAATCCAACTTCACAAAGCACTTAACCCATCATGATAAAAAATTTGACAGAAATCCAAGGTGACAGTTCGTGCCTAACCCTGAAGATGTGAACACAAACACAAGACAGGAGCTGTCATATCCCTGCTATGAATAATACACCCTTCTCTAGAGGCATACTTCTTCAGGTGAGGAGGATTCCAAGACTGCCAGTTGATATTATTTTGTACATACAAAAAATTTGTAGCTATGTCTGAACTTGGAAAGTCTATAGACAGATGATTAATATGAGTGTATATTTATGTTTTCATTTAACAGTTCTGAAACTAGAGAATAACTTTCTATTTTATCTATCTAAAGGCAACTTTACAAATTTGACAGAAAATTGAAAACAGGAAACCAAAACATATTCATTTCAAAGGGAAATACTTTTTGATGAATCTTATGTGAAAAGTTATCATTAAATTAATCTTATTTGAGAGAGAAAACCTATCAAAAATGAACTCATTTGTCACTGTTGGTGGCAAGAGATAATTTACAGCAAATCCTTAACCTGGCAAATTGTCTGTCATATATTTTAATACAACATCAGATAAAGCAAAATTCAGAGCCAAAGTAGTCTGCATATCAAGCTGATTCACTGCTTCATAGTAAGTAATTACATTGGCATAATGCGTGTTACATTACCTGTTATCACGAGAGGTGACAGAAGCCATCCTAATCCAATAATTTGATGTACAAGATAAAATGCTTCCTGTGTGCAACAGTTTTTATACAGTGTCTGAAAATTGCTGCCACAAAGGTCAGCTATGAGTTTTTATTTCATAGGTGTTATGGTAAAATAAACCATATTTTCAATAAGTCTACCTACACAATTTCACCTGACATTTGCCCCTCTTTCACTCATGTTAGCATCAGTGGTTATGTATTTAATGACTATTAAAATCAACAAGATTCTTTTGCTCAAAGTTTTTTCCCTTTCCACCACATTTCAAGCAACATATTTTGTTTTCTTTGTTTCATCTGAATGTACTTTACTAAATGCTTAATGTCAACACAGGTGTAAGCTGGGGAATGACTATTTATAAAAACACAAATCTATTTGGCTTCAACTCGCCCAGACTTCTCCTTCATGCTGTGTCCAGCCAATGGAAATAATGGTGTGTTCAGAAAAGAAATGTAATCCTTCTTTGGTGGAAACACATACCTTTTATCATCACACAATACACCACATCATTTACTACATGAAACAACCCTTTTTCCCCACTATTAGCATCCCCCCTTTTTCTCTGCCTGTTCAACCTCAAAAAATATTTTTTCATTTGTATTCAATCCTTTTTTCTGTTAAGCCACATAAAACATCCATTCTGTTTGTATTCTTTCTCTCCTCTTTACAACCCCATAAAAATCTCCACACTGCTTCTGTGTACCTGAAATCTATCAAGCAGCCAATGAGGGTGAAAAAACAGCGCCTGATTCTATTACACGCCTACTTGAACTATAAAAACGGGGTCGGTTCAAGGGGCGTAAAGAATCCCTCAGACCCCACACCTTAATTGATGGAATAACAACAGACTTGCCAATAGTAGTTAAAAAATAAGCAAAGCATATTGTCCTCAGCCCTTGCTAATTATATTTCCTCTCATGCAAGTATTCTGTATACATTATTCAGGTTAACATTTTTAGTCAATTGTTGCTCTTTCAGTATTTCCAATACCTCCTTTGTGGGGTCAATATGTTTGTCTGCTGTACTCCCTCTGGGTTACATGTTCTGGTTCTATATAAGAAAACAGAATCACGAATACAATGGGTTCAGGTTGGTTCTTGGTTCATACATCTACCAGGACAGATTGCATATGGCTACCTACATTGTATTTCTATATTTTATGTTTTAAATCTGATTATTAAACATTCTGGACACTTACAAAACTCTTTCCAAACTAAATTTGTAACTTGCACGTGTTCCTAGTCCCTATCATATTCTATCTTGAAATCACTATACAATATTCAAGCATTTGGACGAACTATTGGAAGGTACCTGTAACAGTTGTTGATCTAAAATGTTGTTTTTAATGTCCTAAATCAAACCTTTTTATCCCATGCTTAAAAAGACAAAATCATCCGATGATCCTATGCCCCATTCTTAGTTAAAGCTATATACCACCTTTAATAAAACAAGAAACACTCACATGTTACTGCCCAGCTGTGTGTGCCTTGTATGTGTTCAGCTACAATATGCCAAATTAAAACAATATCAGTATGTCAATCAATTAACACCAGAGATTAATTACCTGCTGTCATCTCCCTCAGTGCCAGGTAATATTTCCTCAGGTGTGCATACCAGCGGAGGTTATGAAATGGACTTTAATTACCTCTTTTGTCTGTTTAATTGATTTAAGTAGCATAAAAGCTGGTGCATTGTAGTGTTAGTGCCCTGGAGGTTACAGTGGCTTATGGTTAATGGTGACAGTGGGCAGGATTTTTTAAGCTGTAATACCTGTATGATCTGTCGAGATTCATGGATGAAACTGATAACTGAGGTAGAATTCCATAAAAAAATCACATTTTTGAAGCTATGCAATCTTGTTATGTTTGTAGATAAAATTTTGAAGTAGATTTTGTCATGATCTAGAAAATGCAAATTCCATTGTTATTTATGAGCCAAAGGGGTTGTCTTTTCTTTGATTGCCCTGTTCATATACATCCAACAGTTCACAAAATATTAAAGAACAAACAAAAACAGCAGTTTTAAAATATTCATAACACTGGACTTAATCATTTTTCAAAGTGTCACCACCCGAAGAAAGTCCTGAACAACATCAGCTGACAAAAAAGTGATTTATGCATTTTTCTTCAATAACACAAACAATGTCCATAACTGACCACAGCTGAACTTTTTATCAATGCTAAAATCAAAGTTTTGAAAAAGTTAAACCCTATTCTTCTTTGAGAAATCTCTGATATTATCAAAGTGTCTATGTTTTCTTCCCCACTATCCATGTATCACATGTATGAATGAACCCTGAAGCACCACTCACCAACACATGGAGGAGACTAATGGCAGCCTAATCTTGTATCACGACTCTCAAACAAGAATTTTAAAGCTGTCTTAAATATGTAATAAGATTTATGATTTGCTGATTCAGAAGTCACCCTGAATTGAGAAGAGATATGGAAATGATTAAAAATATCACTCTTTCTGAGGAGATATATCTTAATTTTATACAAGTGATAAATAATTATAGAGGGTGAAAATGGAAATCATGTACTGGAAATAATCTGACTATCACAGGATTCAGAATTTTTTAGATAATTACTTCTCACATAACCTGACCAGTTATGACTTCTTTCTAATTTAATATTTGTCACATGGCAAGATGGTTAAGTCATTTAAGTGCATGTAAATAATTGTGTACAGAAAGTTCCTAAAAATCCAGGCCTATCAGCCACCATAACGCCCGTATCCTACCAGCTAGTACCTAGCGCCCAATAACCAGAGGTAAAAAAGAATCTCTTTGGCAAAATTTACCTTCATACAATGCAAAAGAAGCACAACCCCAAGCAACATGGACTCCCAGGTCAGAAGAGTTAAATTATGATCAACTGAAAGAAGCAACTCCCTCTAGCAGCTTGGCCTTAAATTTTTGTGTGAAAAAGGGTTGTGCTAACAATGGAAGACAAAAGGACCGCCTGGGGGTTTCCAACAACTGATGAGAATTTTGTTGAATCTTTTTTATTCCTGCTTGACTCATGGGATGATAACAAATCAGATTCTTCATTGGAAATGTAAGTCCACTTGGAACACTGCCATTAGTTAGATTTTACTATGTCAAAGGACATATGCCATCAGGATACAAAAAGGTTTAAAGTGAAACAGTCTATTGCATTCTTCAGCACGAAGTCACCCTCTGTATTATGAACAGCACTTTGGTGCGAAAAAAAAAAATGAGATAATTCAATGAAAACATTTAAAAGGACATCAACTGAAATTTAAAACTAGTCAAGGTCCGTAAGCAGTGCCACATTAAATTCTGGCCCTTAAACTGTCAAATTAAATTCCCGTTCCTGACTTAAGATTGGAAAATTAGTTGTCAGAGGTTCAGCATAATCTGCTGTGTTCTGTATGCAACCGCATGTTCTGTATATTGCACATAAGACTACTGATACTGGTCTAACTTATAGCATGGTTAAGATGGGGCTGGGTCTCTTCAACACACCTCATCCTAGCACCATTAACATCCAGGGAGCATTTCACAGTGATATTTTCCTCAGTAAAATATTTCTGTAATTTTTGTTACTTCTAACCCTACCCATTTAGTTTTAGCAAATTGATTAGCCTTTATTAATTACGTATAATTATCATTTTCATGGGATAATATCTTATGGAAAAGAAAAAATGATCCTTATGGAACATATGCTCTAGAATGGCCCTTTTACTAATAGTCATAATTTTTCTTAAAATTTATTTTCACAAACAACATAATTCCAAGAAAGACATAGAGGACTTCAAAATATATTCTTTAATACATTTTCAAGAACTGAGTTAAAATTGAAATTTATGAATGTAGTTGATGTAACCATAAAATCACTTACAATTCAACAGGCTTTGAGGATATTAAAGTTCTAAGAGACAAGGCAGGCTATTTACTCTTGTGAATAAACTGATTCTATTATAAGACATGGTGGGCATCATCATTGCTCCTGTTATCAACGATACATTTATGTAAACATCAATACTAGATGTAGTAACTGGACTATTCATCAAACCTTGTACCATCAGTGCTGCCTAGTGCTCTAGCATTGTTTTTGTTTTACTAAAAATCTCAAGAAGGTTGTAAATGCTGCTTCTAGTGACAACATAGCATACCTAAAGTTAAGCCAGATTTCATAACATACTCACTCACCTCAAACAGACAGGCTCTACAGTAAACTCTCTACATCCATTGCTGTGTAATCTTTGTTATTGTGTGTAACCACTGTCATTGTTACACAAAAGACATGATGATGAGAACAACCATTATTGCTGCTACTACTAATGATACAGCAAGCTGAAAGTTATACTGGACAAAATGACACACTCGCTTCCCTCAAACAGACAGATTTTCCATTCCACCCAGAATGCTTCTTGTTACCTGGTGTGAAACCATTGTTATTGTTCAACAACAGACATGATGATAATAATAACTACAGGTAATGGCACAGCTAGCTGAAAGTAACACTGGACTCAGTGACATACTCTCTTACCTTAGACTGACTGACTCCCCGTTTAACCCTGTGTGATTGGCATTATTGCCTGGGGTGTAGACATTGTTATTGCTGTGTACATCGTAATTTGGCCCCTGTCCAGTAACTGTCTGACCCGGGTGTCGTCCCTGTGCTCTGGTCTGGGTATCTGGAAAACAGGGATATCAACAATATCTTAGTTTATGTTTTCTTTGACTTTGTGTAGTGAAACAGTAATTATCGCTGAAGTTATCTGCACCTCTGAAAGGAAACTACCATATACACTCAGTCTAAGCACCTTAAAAATAATGAAATGAAAAATATTATGTTTAGTTATATAAAACGTTTTTTTTTCTTAGTGTCATGAAATAATTTTTACTGAAAGTAATCCACACCTCTGACAGGCTTTTTCATCAAACATACACAAGCACTTGGTAGTTACCACGAAGTTAAAATGATTTTTTCTTCAACCACTTTGAAACTATGAAGCCTACCCATAGATAACTTTTCACCATATATCTACCTTAGATTTCTCAGAGATCACTTCTTCAATAAGAAACTTACAATGTCATAAAGACGTAACAAAACTGTTCCCCATACCTGGGAAAGACACTACCATTTATGACGTTTTTCACACCAAACTGTTGTATGATGCTGTAACCAGCTTCACCAGGCACGAGGGCCTACCAAGGCAGCTAAGTGGACAGATACCCAGTATCTCCGCTGTCACCTACTCTGAGGCCTGCGGCACCTTGAAGATGTATATCCCATCCTAGGACTCCTACAGCTACTACAGATCACACGACATTGAGAATTTATGGCCAAGATTATCTTCAAAAGGCCTGTAGCAAACATTTCAATGAGGGGTTTCTTTTTCTAAAAAGATGGACCCTTTTAGTTCCCAAGTTGATCAACTTTAAAAAATGCCTTAGTACCAGATCAAATTTTAATTCAACCAACCTTTTCCAGCCAAAATGGTGGTTATTTTAAAACCCCTGAATACAGGCCTCTCATTGAGATATCATTCAAGTGGATTCTTCCAGAACTAATTTTTTTATCACTAAAGCATCACTTTTTCTGCTTTGATGCTTGAAATCCCGTTATGTCAAAGCACATTAAGAGTTGGCTAGCCAAGTTACAGAAGAAAGTGGAGATTTGTATGCATAAGTTGTTCATGCAATTTTCTGTATCTTGGGAGCATTTCTAAACTTGTCAAATACACATCCAAACTGTCTCTTTTTGTAGACTAGAAAAAACTAGTATCATAAAACAATTTCCCTTGTAAAACAACCCTGATGTCTTTGATTTTTTATATTATCTCAGGGTTAATTTCCAGAAGATCTTTCTTACAGCAAGTGGTGAGGAACTTTTAGAACTGAATTTGAATATGCTCCTTTACCTCTTCAACACTTTATAAAAATCCTTTCCCACTCCAAAAATTACCCCAAATACAAACATCTATGCCAAACCATGTTTTACCTTCAGTTTTCCTCCAAAACAGGCCTAAAGTAACAGATTCACAACCATCTGCACCTGTCGTCCAAATCCTTCTGTTTCTTGGGGTAAAAAAGAACTAAAACCTAAAATTTTTCCTCCCTGCTAAACCTCCATAAATTGGTCTCAAAGGGATTTTACTAGAACATATTTTTTACGACTGGATCCCCGCAATGGAGTCAAACAAAATCTCAGACAATAAACATTCCTTTATGGGAATCTCCGCTGTTTGTTCAACATTCGCTGCCTGCCATCGAATCAGCTTTTTAACAAGCTTTTTACGAGTCGGGTGAGATCTAAAACCAATCCCCTTCATACACAAGCAGCCCATTAGTATTGTTTAACTGCTGTGGTCTTTGTATACTTACCTGTGTGTAAGGACTACCATTTCTACCTGATATGTAAAAAACAATATCAGCATCCAGATTTAGGGCCTTGATCAAACTTATGAAACTTCAGAGTGGATTATGTTTATTTTTTTCTGGTCTGAAAATCATATCCATGTCCCCAATTACGGTGTAAGTTCCTTTTACAACCAGCGTGAAGCCTTTAAATGCATGGCTAGGCTTACCGTGAAGACACCACTGAGATCTCAGCATAAATATTTCACCGAATCCTCACCTTGACATTCTATTCCTATTATTCATCCTGTCAAACACCCACTGGAGATCGTCTGTAAATATTTTACTGTACTTAAAAGTTCTTACCCACCATCAATGGTATATGTACATGGGTCTGCGATAATTACAGGTGCATGTCCTCCATGAAACATGAAATGTCAATTACTGCCTTACTGCCTTTCACAAAGTCAAAAGTGTCCACACACATGAGTATACTATGTAATATGTCCCATTTGAGTATTTAACTCCAGGATGCAGTTGGGTAAAAACTTTGCTAGTCTTCTGGAACCCAGATTTGTGGTGGCTCACTACAACCCAAAATACACCATAGTATTTAAACTCCAAACTTGTGTTTTACGTTTTCAAACTCAGAACCCTATTCACTGGACCATATCGGGATGAACCTTAGCTCAACTTCATTATGAGGCCCCCAGATGCCTATGGGCATAACATCAGCAAAGGAAAAAGATGAAATATTACTGGATTGTCAACTATTGCTGAAATAATGACATTCTAGGTGACATCTTGTCTAATACTTTTAAAATGGAAAAGATAGATTAAAAAACAGACCTGGTTTCATATCTGAGCTTTGGATGACACTTTTGTCTCTTTGAACAAAGGAAAGAGAAGAATAAATGACAAGGCAGCCATGACTAATATCAGAAGATCAGCAGATGCTATAATCACAGGCAAGATTACATTTGGAATAAGAAGAAATGTACTTTCTTTTGTCAGTTTTTGAAAGTTCTTATTTTTTTGCTGAGAGGCATCTGACTACTGTTTTTTCTCACACAAAATATCAGGTTTTTCATCTAAACATACCAAATTCTGCTTCTGTTATCCTTTATTTTATTTTATTTTCTTCACACTTGTGATATATCTCCTTGTTGTAAATTAAAAGATCTGTTGCTGTATGTTTTCTTAAGTCTTATTATGAAAAGTGTGACAAAATAACTAACATTTAAACAAATCAACCATGAGAATATACTAAAAAATATGTAACCAGTGATCTTTCTCCCCACCCCCCACCCCAACAAAAAACATTTTATGGTCATCCAGTGAAGATATAAAAATACATGCATTAATACAATGTCTATGTTCTCTTTAATAAGCTTTGCCATTTCTGTGTAGATTTAAGACAAAGTTATCGGACAATATTCATGGCTCCACAATTGACTGGGGATATCTTATCTACAGAGACCAAGTGGCCAGAAAATTGGAAAATAGCCGAGAATAAAATGAGAAGATTGCAATTTTATCCATTAAAACAGTATGCACAGTGCTAGTATAGCTACAAGCGGGGCGTCCCTTGTAACGGCAATACTGAAGCCTTTCATTCTATCAAAATAATCATGAGCAACTTTCAGTCTTCCTTGATCAATATGTGCCAATACTACGGTGTTTTCTGATTGCTCTAATTATAATTATTGTTGGTGTCTGGTTCCAGGAAAAAGTTATTAATCTCCTATTCAATGAAAGAATGAATATTGTGTAATATTAAACATGCAATATCTCAATGGATTTAATCAATAATAACTAAACTTTCAGTATAAGATAATGTTTGTGGCAACTATGACTATGACTATTTTAATAAACCCAAAATTTACTTCAATTATTTCTGCCAAGGAGGTTAGGTTTTTGCTGATGGAAGTTTGTTAGTTTACTCAAAGTATTATGGGCAGATTTTGATGAAATTTTTGGGATTTAGTGGTGATCAATTTATGAATAATTAGTAATAATAATGTGAAATGAACTGGCTTGACAGAAGACTAAAATCTCTGCATGCTTTCTTATTTAAAATAAATCTAAAATGCTTGGCATGCTGAATTGCAAAAACATACAAAATGGATATTGAACCTAAATAATGAGTGTAATATGTATGTTTAGAGACTCAACCCTGTAAGAGGTACTTAGCTTTCAAAAAGAACAAGTAAAACCACTCCACATGATAATTGAACTCTTTATCAGCTGAATCAAAATAGCAGTATTTTGCTTGCTTACTACTACTACTATCAATGCTATGACTGGGGCTTCCTTCACAAACTGAGGGTATCCAATCACTTGTTATCTTGCAATTCTATACCAGCCTTACACCGTCCCAGACACCTGCTCTGAATAGAGGAGAGATCACAACTCATACTGACAGGAAACACTGTATATTTGATAGTAAAGAAACTTACAATAATTAGTATCAACTTTGGGGGTCCAGGGCTAATCTAACTATCTCAGTGTTCAACAAAATAGGTGTCCATGTTCTTTTGTGAAGTCATGGTAAAAATAAAAAGTAAATTTCCTTAAGGGACTACATCATGAAGAGTGGAAAGCCGTTCCTCATAGGTGAAAAACAAACATTGTCTCTTTATAAAAATCTACTTTTGTACTAAAGGTTCATGAAGAAGAGCAGAGAAATAGGTCACACCCATTCATTCATTCATTCTTCCTATATAAACCCCCTTTTTTCAGAAATCAAAGAGAAAACTGATCCAGAGGCACACTGATGAACAAAAATGGATTCAAAAGCTTTAATTTAGTTGTGAAATTTCTGTCAGAAAAACAGACTTCAAGCATCAAGTTTAAAAACAGAATAATCTGATACATTCAAGTATGTACAACAATGACTGCATTTTTGCAAAGCCAGATGAATAAAATTTAGACAGGAAGCTGTTAAGAAAATGCACAAGATTTTTGAATGTCCCAATCCATTTCCAACATCCTTCCAAAGTCAACTGATAAAACTATTCTTTACTCTACATCCACTCAACCATTTAACATTTTTTCCTGATCACAATTACCTACTTCAGAGTGGGGGATTAATGAATAAAGAAACACATCCCGTCTTAAGGTGGCCTTAATTTACCTTACAAACAGAAAGATTTGTTTGTGCATCTTTCTAAAGCAAAAAAGCACCAGACTTAAGTTCATATCATATCCTTTAAGTTCCTCAAAGATTTCATCTGCAGGCTAATACAGTCCGAGTCAATATCTTGTTGAATATTTCATGACGGCTGTATTTACCTGCCACAGTCAAGAACTTTTTATATCCCTTGGCCAGTAAGGAACTGAATTCTCCATCCTCAAGCAACAATTACTGGATTTCTAGCCATGTATCTTGACTTTTCTTCCTCTCGCCACCAGTTGTCGACTGCGGGATATTTGCACGCGTGTGTTACTATATCCCTAGTCGTTTGTGCTCCATAGAAATCATCGATATGTGATTCCCGCTTGGCAAATACTGTCACTATATTAGCTTTGTGTCAACAGTCGTTAGAAGGATGTTGCTTTTCAAAACCTGTCCTTCTGTTCAGAGAGGTCGAGAGCGATGTAACATGGTGTGTCTGTACCCTGCAGGTGTAGCGTTTCTATAGCATGGGTGGCCCGCCAATTCAGTTCAGTTATGTATCAAAACAACCTAACAACCCAGATCTCTCAGTGTCTAAAGCAGATTACAGTAATACTTTCATTGACATGCCCTCCTCTTGGCTTGGGGGAGGGGTACTAGCTTAAGTTAAGGCACAGTTACGCCCAGCATGTTAAAATCTTTGTCTTTGGAAGATTTCCTGATGTGGAGGCCACCGTATGGGTCAGCTGCTTCAATGGAGTGTTTAATTATTTGGCCTTCTCCAAGAGCTGATTAGTGAGAGTGAAGTTTTTGTTTTCACGCGTGACCAAATCAAAAGCAACCTCATGGTCAATACTTGTCCCCGAGGGCAACTGCCTGCACACAAATATGAATAAATATGAATGCAAGCAATAGCCAATTGATGACGTCCAGCAGTTCAATGTGAAAAGGTCAAAGTAGCCACAGACTTCTTGATATCATATTCAATTTTGTTTTTTCTACTTATGATATGGGACCAACAGAACTCTGAATTATTTGCACACAACTACCTGACCAAGCTATTAAATCAAGCTACTTTATTTCAATAACTTCTCGTCACTTGGTAATGGTCGTTGATTCTTTAAATTGTGCTGTGGCTTAACAATTCAAATGCTTGCATGTGAAATTGAGTTAATTCAGAAAAAAAAATCAAGACAATTTTCAAAAGAGAAAAAAAATGCTTCCTGCTCAGGTTTAATAAGTTCTGTTTTTACTTACTCCCCAAATATCCCTACAGTATTCACCGGGTCTACAAAAAGTGAAATTACAAAACAAGGTATACTATTTAACATGAAAAAGTTATCTTAAAACAACACCCAGTTTCATGAATACTAGCATTTTCTTAGCTCCCAAAGTCTGCTTTAATTAAGACTAATCTAAAGAAAATTGCAATATATGTATCTTGCACTTACTAAAACCAAAGACAATTCCATCCAAGTGAGCTGAAAGATCATTCAAGTCATGTTAAATTCAAATACTTAACACAGAAAAAAATTAAATATCCAGAAAGCGTCCAACCTTCGGCCAGTTATCGCCTTTCCAAATGGCAGCACACGCCAGTTGAGTTTTGTCTCTTGGGACTATTATATCTCATGATTAACTTGAATCCAATTCCAAACTTCATTTATCTGCTCACCCCCAGGTGGAAATGTGTTACAGTGAATTATGGGACTGACACTTTCAATGGAGCAGACGTACAAAACTGGCAAAATGGCCCAACTCTTCTCAACTCTTCTCAGCTCTTTTATGTCTACACTGAATGAATAATTCAGAATCTTTCTGTAAAATCTTCCCTTTTTCACATAAATATGGTCTTTTTTACCTCTAACATAATCTAATGTTGCTCTGTATACATGTTAATATACACTAAACTGAAGGATTTAAGATTCTCCTGAAGGGGGATGACAAAGTTTTTCGTCACTTTACTCAGCCAGTTAGCACACAATATAAAGATTTTGAACAAAAAGGTGACAAGGGAGCAAGTCCATGTCAAATCCCTCAGCAACCCCTGATACAACTATTTATAGCTTAATCAAAAAAGAAATTTTATATCACTGCACTCTTTTTTTCTTCATGAATTAACCTAACTAAACAAAAGAATGTTTGCTAAAAAAAACTACTTTTGCACCTTGAGTTACCAGAATTATCATGTTTAAAGGGAAAAAATTGGGCAAATCTTTCTACTCATCCCCCCCATTTCCTTCACAGCTTCACCAAGCTTTGTTTTCCAAATCAGCAATCCTGACATCTTTTTCACAAATGATTTCTTCAGCTCCATTAACCTACAGCAAGCACCATACAACACGGTCCTTAGCGGCAGCAGACGACAGTAGTCTCAACTACTCCATTATCCAAAGTAACACTATATTACCATTGCTCTCCTATTAACTGACAAAGGGATGACACCGTGGACAGCCTGCCTTTCTAAGCTGTAAATTAATTTCAGGCTCTGTGCGAAAGCAATTTCTTCAGTTGCACAGCATGTGTCTTTTGAATTCATTGAGGCTTGGCCGAGCTTGAAAATAGATTTGGCCACAAAATGGGCATTATCTTGCTTTGGGGGTAGAATAGGAGGTGTCGAGATGACGATCTCACAGAGGTATACCAACTGTTCACAGGTGTATGTCATGATTAACTTTAAACCACAGATATGCTTGTTTCATTGCAAATACCATCAGTTTTGTCTTTTATTTAACAATAATAATAATTGAATTTTTATTTCCTTTTCCAAATAACTTAAACCTACTTTTTAAAGAAGTAATAAAAATTTCAGTGAACAAATTCCTCCTAGTCTCCCCTTGTTACTAAATAATTTCAACTGCCCTTGATTCTTTTAATCTAAATCAGAAAATTGCGAAATGGCAGCAAATTTTTCTAAATCAAAAATCAATTTCTGCGAACGCTCCTGCGCTTATCTTTGCTCTTCTTCTCATGTCTGATCAAACATAATAACCCGATTAATCCTGATCTCTCAATATGTGATGTACTAACGCATTCTTCCAGCATTGTTATAATTATGAATCATGTATCATCTGTCAAATTACAGTTGTAACTTCCCATCATGCTGTATTAATTCCAGTGTTATTCATTTCCATAGCTCTTCAGTTACCCTTTGATTCTGTGTGAATCATCAGCAGTGGATCTTTAAAAAAAATCCTGATCTTAAGATTTTAAAAACTCATATGCTACCCATTATAATTCAATGAAAATTCACAATATAACTATTTCACGGTATGCCTGGTGTATAGAAATTTTGTCTCAATACCTTTTTTGAAAGATGCATTTGGCATTCAATACATGACGAAAAGTGGGTAAAAATGCTTTAAAAATTGGTGTGACTCAGCTTTCACCTTTGTGTAATGGCCACCCGTTAGTTAACAAAACTTCTGTCATGGCAGGTGCAGTGCTCAGCTTGCTTATTGCATGCATTTTACAAACACCATTAATTTCCATTTGAAACAATGCAAGGTCTGCAATATTTTTTCTTAGTTTGAACAAATATTTTAAAAAGTTTAGCTTAAAAAAATGTCATCTTCAGCTCTCATTTTATTACATGTACATACATCATAACAATTAAAACAGCTCTCTCTCTCTCTCTCTGGCATGATGCCCTCACAACCCCCCCCCTCTTTTTTTTGACAGATATCAGTATCAATTATGCCCTTTACTCACCATTCTCCTTCAGTTTCATGTTATTATCATTCATTTCCAAGTTATTTAGAATTACAGATTTGTCCAGCATACTGTTTTCTTTCCACAGTGACTCCAATGAAATCAATAAAAGCAATCTTGCCACTTCTACTTGGAAAATAGAACTTCAGCTACGTATTAAATCCTGGCTGTTTCTCTTGTTTAAGTTTCCTTCATTTGCATGTGAGTTGTGTATTGCGACTCAATTTCATCTCACACTGTTTTGGTTTTGTATTGTGAAAGAAATTCATTCGACAATTGAATAATGCCGCGAGTGTCAGATTCTCTGCAAGCCTGGGTAGATGGTGAAATGGCGTCAGTTCTTACATGCACTAATCATGCAATGGCTCCTATGCCTCAGAGCTTGCATACAAAATGTGCAAAATAAATCACTAATCTTCACAAATTCCCAGTCCTCTGCTCTGCTACTATTGCAAATTAAACAGGAAATAAGTTTCATTCAGACTTTACAACCCAACACCCTTGCTAATTCAGCATAAAGATACGATGACGAAAGTGAAATGCTACTCCAGCCTCCCTTGAAAAATCTTTGTCATCAAGGTTTTTTCTTTAAGCAGAAAAGAGCAGTTAGTGTGGATGTATTATTGGCACTGCTGCAAATGATTAGAAATATCCATCGCTCATTCTGACTGGTAAATCCCCTTCTAGGCAGAGAGTGGCTCCAGTCTACTCAAAGAAAATCACAAGAAATAAGTTTTCTGTGTAGCCCTAGAGACCTTGAAGACTTCACTCCCACATTCTTGAGAAACCTTTCAATTAACTTCTAGAACCTGTAATGTAATAGGATTTTTCTTGTCTTAATTTGTGTCTCTTTTAAATGGGATGATTCCTTATCTGCTGTCTGTCACACCAGCTCCCTGTTGCCAATGCTTCACTGACTGTCCATCTAATTCATAGTTGCTCTGTCTCCTATCTACCTGACTTAAATATTTCCAGTATTTATTTGTGCTCTGTTTTTCTTTTCTTTTCTCAACAATAAATTCAGTTTGATCTGGTATGACGAATTTCCCACCAATCTTTATTACAAAGCCTGCACTTTTTCTATCAATGTGCCAACAGTGTCTCAACAGCGTCTTTTAAATTCTTCAATGGTCTAAAAAGATTTTCCATTCCCACACGAAAAAACTCATCCTCTATCAGCATCTTCTAACAACAGACTGAGTGAGTTTTTCCACATTCAAACCCCTATAGGTCAACAGCATAAATCTCTCTCCAGGGACTTGGCCTATTGGTCAATCTTCCCCACTTGACAATCAATGATAGTAAATAGAATATCACGCTCACGATTCAGACTACTTTGATTCCACCACGGAGGAGCGAAGATGGCCAGTCAGTCAATCAGAGTGTCTGCGAAAAGCACCCTCTTGGGGAGACGCAAGTTCCACATCAGTATCTTCGATGAGTAAATATTTCAACACTGGTAAGTTGCACTCTGGAGAGAAAATCCAATCTATTCAAAATGTCCCTCTGAAATGCAGAAATTGCTGACCAAACAGAAGCAAGTGTCACTGTTAGATTCCCACCGTTAACAGTGTGAAATTGCTTCTCTGGAGAATAACTTGCTTTTCTATAAATCCTCTAGTTCACAAATGTCTTTGCTGAAGCTGAACGGATATCAATTCCTAAAGCTTGTCTGTTTTAGAATTAATCGGCATCGGTTGCAAGTTTATCTACACTTGGAAACAGTTTCTCATGTCTTCTATGAAATAATATCAATTTATCTAACTTTGTCTGCTTTTCAAGTTGGTAGTCTACAATGCAAGTTATGAAGCTGCGGTAACAGTATCAGATCAAATGCAAAACTATTGCAAATACATCTGCTGTCAGATAAAAGTTAATTTTCAAACCAGTAGGAAATCCAATCTCCTCTGATCTGCATAGGAAACAATGAGAAGTCCACTTGACTTTAATGAAATTCCTCCTTGTTGCATTCCCTTTTACTGAGCACTCTGTTTCATGTATGTTCTTTGTTGCTACAGCCAGAAACAGAGAGCAATATTTACAATGTCTTGCTTTTTAATACCCATAAAATGCATCATCGATGTAAAACACCATGAAGTCCTTGTAAAGTGATTTACTGACACTTTCCTCACTTCTCTCTCTTTTTAATTTCCTTTTTCATCAGGATGTGCCCCACTTACAAATCCAATCTTTCATCCTGATAAAAATGTTGTCACCATAATCTTTTGCAAAATGCTCCTATTTTTTATTTCATGGACTGATAAATGATGATCGCAATAGATTCACTTCCTGATATCTTCCACTGCTACAGTATACATCTATCTCCCTCCCTGTTACTCTCTCCGTCTGTCCCTCCCGTCAGGCACCGTCTTGCTATCTATTATACACTTGATAACACACAAGTGTTACCTCAGGCTTACATAAGTCCCTAATTTCCTCAGGTCAGACCAATTAGTACAGTAATTATATCACCTTGCAGGTGCCACCAGGAAATAAAGCCTCTCCTAACTCCACTCACCCCAGTCTTTCCCTATGAACTCCACCGGTTCTTTGATCATTTCAATCTACTAGAATGTATCAGCATGGCAGTTTTCATATGAAGTGGAGATTTATGCTTAAACCATACAGCTTCACATGGAGATTCAGGGTCCTTAATCAGGTGAAGGGATCCACCTGTTCAAAATGGTCAATCAATGGTTGGAAACAAGTGCTAGGTAGAAGGTGGTCAAGCTGGCCCAAATTATCCAGCCAATGACCTCAGTAAGCCAGGTATGCAATCCTTAGATAATAGGTGGAATTGAGACAAATTGCTGCATACGGCTCCTGTGTGGGGTGTCTTGGGTAGAATATTATGGGATGGTAACAGGTGGAAATCTCAGCATTTGATATCATGGTGATACAATTTTGTGACTGCCTGCTGGGATAGAAATTCCAATTTATTTGGCATCTTCTGGCATTTGATTTTTAAAATCTATTTCAACCAATAATTTTTAAGGTAAATATTGTTAGCCATGTTGACAAAAATTCACCCAGTAGCTGGATAAATACAGTGATTGGCACCAATGTTGATCCTCACTTATCTAGATTAAGACTATCTTGTGTAATCAGAAGGAAGTGAAGTCATCATCAGGTCTACAGCGGATTATTATCTTTTCACTTTCTGCTCTTCTCTCTAGTCACTGATACCTCTCACAATTTGATTGCCTTTTATCTGATCATGGTAGGCATATCGCACCGCTTTCATCACGGCTTGCATTTCCACTTAATCTAATCATGATCTTTGAATTGCAATATTACTTTGCCCTCTGTCACCTTACCTCATAATACCCGCAATTATACAGAAGCGCCTGTAATTTCTAGATGCAATATCTTTTTTTTGTCTCAAAAATAATGTTTATTCTGAAACATTTCTATATGAAAGCCTATTGTTGAGAAAAACAATGATTTTCAAAGTACCTCAGAAATATTCAATCATTTCTAGACACTCTTTTATCAGAAAAAAATGGATTGTATTGACATTCAAATTCTATGTGCAGTGCAGCTGAAATAAAATTACCTTTGATTATGATGCCATTATAAAGGGGAATCGTCTATTGGGAAAAGTGAGTTGCATAAAGAAGGAAATGAGGCATAAATGGGATATTTTTTAATTAAGTCCCCAGGTAGGTTTTACATGGAAGGCAATCTTTAGGGAACACTCCATGAATTATAGCTATCCTGATCATGACCAATATTTAAATGCATGTTCTGCTGCTTGAATTCAGATCATGATAATTAAAATTTTCCATTTGAACACAGATCATTTGGGAATATTAATTATACTTTTTTTTCTTTTAATAAATGGATAAATAATTGAATCTAAGGCAAAGCTAGCCCCAAAGGAAACATTAAAAGCCTGATGAAGTCTGCTCTCTCATTAAGAATTATGTAAATATTGCAAGGGTATTTCATTATGACACATTGTGCTTTGATAATAGAGAGTTTCGGCAGGACGTTGAACGAGTACGTATACGTGTGACGTAACAGGTTGTTGCCTTCTACGTCACGACTTTTGGCATACAGCCTCGCCTAGGTTCTCGTCTTGCGTACGTTCTGAACGTGAAGAAGGCTGTTTACACGTAAGNTGGAGATTCAGGGTCCTTAATCAGGTGAAGGGATCCACCTGTTCAAAATGGTCAATCAATGGTTGGAAACAAGTGCTAGGTAGAAGGTGGTCAAGCTGGCCCAAATTATCCAGCCAATGACCTCAGTAAGCCAGGTATGCAATCCTTAGATAATAGGTGGAATTGAGACAAATTGCTGCATACGGCTCCTGTGTGGGGTGTCTTGGGTAGAATATTATGGGATGGTAACAGGTGGAAATCTCAGCATTTGATATCATGGTGATACAATTTTGTGACTGCCTGCTGGGATAGAAATTCCTATTTATTTGGCATCTTCTGGCATTTGATTTTTAAAATCTATTTCAACCAATAATTTTTAAGGTAAATATTGTTAGCCATGTTGACAAAAATTCACCCAGTAGCTGGATAAATACAGTGATTGGCACCAATGTTGATCCTCACTTATCTAGATTAAGACTATCTTGTGTAATCAGAAGGAAGTGAAGTCATCATCAGGTCTACAGCGGATTATTATCTTTTCACTTTCTGCTCTTCTCTCTAGTCACTGACACCTCTCACAATTTGATTGCCTTTTATCTGATCATGGTAGGCATATCGCACCGCTTTCATCACGGCTTGCATTTCCACTTAATCTAATCATGATCTTTGAATTGCAATATTACTTTGCCCTCTGTCACCTTACCTCATAATACCCGCAATTATACAGAAGCGCCTGTAATTTCTAGATGCAATATCTTTTTTTTGTCTCAAAAATAATGTTTATTCTGAAACATTTCTATATGAAAGCCTATTGTTGAGAAAAACAATGATTTTCAAAGTACCTCAGAAATATTCAATCATTTCTAGACACTCTTTTATCAGAAAAAAATGGATTGTATTGACATTCAAATTCTATGTGCAGTGCAGCTGAAATAAAATTACCTTTGATTATGATGCCATTATAAAGGGGAATCGTCTATTGGGAAAAGTGAGTTGCATAAAGAAGGAAATGAGGCATAAATGGGATATTTTTTAATTAAGTCCCCAGGTAGGTTTTACATGGAAGGCAATCTTTAGGGAACACTCCATGAATTATAGCTATCCTGATCATGACCAATATTTAAATGCATGTTCTGCTGCTTGAATTCAGATCATGATAATTAAAATTTTCCATTTGAACACAGATCATTTGGGAATATTAATTATACTTTTTTTTCTTTTAATAAATGGATAAATAATTGAATCTAAGGCAAAGCTAGCCCCAAAGGAAACATTAAAAGCCTGATGAAGTCTGCTCTCTCATTAAGAATTATGTAAATATTGCAAGGGTATTTCATTATGACACATTGTGCTTTGATAATGAAATACTGGTGTTTTCAGTGCTTATTATTTCAACCTATCATAATAATAACACCATTGTTCTTATCAATAACTTCAAAAAATCTAAGTTAAGTTTCCAGGTAAGTTGGTCCATCCTAACTCAGAACAATCAATCCCCGCTTGCCATCTGCTTCCAACTAGGCCTTCAAACTTTTTAGTCTTTTTAAAACTCAAAAAAAGTAAACAGAAGTCAGGTTATTTTCCTTTTGTATTCAACACGGAGAGACTTCTTCTTTCGAAAATGTCCACAAAGGCCGAATAGTTCAAAATCAGGCGTGTCAACCACACGATCCAGGGTCAACACACAGACAGAAGACACAGGGCAGTTAACGTGTGATGAATGAATACAACATTTTCAGACAACTCACAATAAGACTTTCCACAAACACATTTAAAATCTTTGTTTCCTGAACTTAAGATGGTATTGTAGTTGAGGTTATTTTCTGACCCCTGGTTATTGAAAACTCATTAAGCCGATACAGAGTGACAGGAGACATTTGGTTGAGTGTATATTGGGTAAAAGTCTTATAATTTCTAAGGTGTCTCCATTTTCATAAGTTTGCAAATGGACTTAGTGGATACATAAGTAACCAATTTTATTGTCGTAAATTTAAAAAGGGAGGAACTTCCAAACTCCATAAGGAGAAATTCTTTTATTGGCTCCTGGAGAAAGGTTTCATATCTTAAGTGAATTTAGTGATATTATTACATGTAGCACATGCTGTACTTATGTTGACTTGTGGTCTTTTCAAATAAGACCCAGAGCAACTGAATGACAGAGAAATGACCAATTTCCCCTATGACATGCCATGCTGTTAACACTTCTCAAATCTTCTCAGTGTCCATTATTTGACCACCAACATCGTCAACATTGCCAGACAGACTAAGTCACTGTATCCTACAGTATGTGATCCAACAATAGGAAATTCTTCAATTTGGAAGTGTTAAATCTTCCAATACAAACAGACAGATTGAAAACAATTTCACTGATGAAAAGGGACTGAAACTCCCTTGTGAAGTGAACGTGACAGCTGCAACAGATTGGTCACTAAGGTTTCACTTGACCATCCACAGTGGACATGTCTTTCCACTTTATCACTTTGTCAAATTTTGTATAATTTGCCATGGTCATCACTGAAAACTAAAAGGCATTTCCACCATCTTAATAATGTTTCCCAAACCAATGATATGCTTGAACAAAAGTTTAGAAGACGTGTTCATAATAAAGCCAAAAGCGTGCTTAATCCACCTTTACTTTACTTGGATAAATATTGGACTTTTCATTTCTTTCAGAATAACAAATCAAAGCTTTACAGACATTCATTTATGGATTTCATTTCAACTGCATCTTCATATTATTCAGAATATTGACCTAAGTTAATTGAATCCTTCCGAAATAATTGACAATACTGATAAAATAAAATTACCCAATATTGACAACACTTCATACAATTTTCACCACAGGGTCATCAGTTCTACACATAACACATATGTCTCCGATGAAAGAATACCTTTTCAAATATGAAACAAACCTGAAATCTTCACAAATAGATGTGTGTTCTTGTCTATGGTCAAGTCAACCATCTGCTTCCAGCGCATCAAAATAGCTACAATATATCAAGGTACAATTTCATAATTGCATAATGTGTACGGATATATTTGAATGTGCATGAAACGGGTTTTGTTCCCCCACAAAAGAGACTGCCTGAGCCACATGGTGTGATTGGCCCTTAGCCCCAGGGTGTCTTTGATATCCCCAGGGGGCCCTAAACATTGCACAGTAATCCATAGTAAAACACACATTTGGTTCAGTCTCTTTAACCTATTCTATTACAAATTTAATTTTGACTGTGACAGCTAGGTATCAATTGTCACAGTATGAAGACCAGGACATGTACTTTAAATCCTTCTTTCTATCATCTTTAAAAGTTTTCCAGAAACATAATGGTCTCGTGTCATATTCTACCTCTGATGTGTTATCCTGACAAGGTGCCAAGGAAATAAGCCACCATTTTGTGACCAACCCAGAAATTTCCCCGTAACAAGCCATAATCTGAAACTACTACCATAATCTGACGTTCTAAATATGTCTGAATTAGCCGCCATTGCTGGACACCACATTATCTGCCATTCCCACACACAATGGCTGAGCAAGTCAACCCCAATCTACGAGATGTCTGGGCACCAGACAAATACCCCTCTATTTCTGTTTTGCACTCAATTAAACTGGACACTTTCTCCCCACTGGAATCAATAAGGGACCTCCGCCATATTATCTCCTCCAGTTG